CCGGAATTGGGTAGATCAGAGCCTTCCTTCACAAAGGGGTGGAGCGTATTAGGGGAGAAGAAAATAACAACACAATGGGTCGGGCTTTTTCGCCAACCTTTTGCTGTTCAGGGTGCCAGGGGACTCGGTTGTCTGATGTCTGTCAGTTCCGAAGACGTTGGGATGATTCAGATCAGGTTTGATCGGCAAGGTTTTCAAGGGACGATGCTCCGAGACTTGTGGCGACAGGGCCAACAACGACAACTAAGGAAATGCGGGGTGCAGCGGAACAGCGGAACACCACAGCATAATTCGGGAAGAACATCGTCAAGTGCGGCTACTTTCTTGTTGACATATCCTAGTCGCGCATCATGCCAGATCGACTCCTGCAAGTGAAGGTGGAAGCGGACACAGAACCTTTGGACAACATGTTCATTGATCACCATTCATCGTCGGCTCTAGTTCGTCCCAACTGTCAGATGAAGCCACATCTCCCGGGAAGTCACTTCGTTGGCGGATCATTTAGCAAGCCAATGTTGGTTGTTCTTGGCCTGTCGAGTGGCACGTCAAAATAAATGTGCAGAGCCGCGGCCTGCTTACGGGCGTTTCGCTGTTGCGAAACCCTCAATCACAGAGTTGTTGTCATGGCAATCCTCCGAGTCGGACCTGCATGACACTACTCAACTTATTTTTGACAATCTTTTCTGGTACGCGTTCTGAATTTGAAAGGATTCTCCTCACACCCACCAAGAAGCCGGCCTTATGGCAGTGGTCGTCAGTCGAGGCTCTGCTTTACCGCGCCGCCCTACATGCTGCAACGCAGCGTCGCTTGATCGGATGATGCCGCCTGCACTTGAGAGTTGAGGCATGGAGTGGTTCAGGCACTTCCCATGCAGCTGGAACACCTCGGCAGCTGTGTCGCCGCGGGCCGCTAGCTCTGCAGCCTTTTCGATTGCTGCAGAGGCGACAAAGTCAAAGCATGCATGAAGAGCAAAAGCGAAATGAAAGGATCGTTCAACCCATCAACGATGGGCGCGACGCATTACCATATGCGCCTTGTTGGGTCTAATGGTCCAGACCACTGGTTTCCATCGCGCTTGGCGACTTGCCCCTGAATCACAGAGGGCACTCTACGGATACCTCACATCTAACAACTTCTTTGGGATTTTTCCTGGGATTTCTGACAACGGCAACGGAGGGTCACGGGCCTAGCTCTTAGAGACGACGCAAGGGCCACGAACGTGGTGAGGTTGCAACCCGCCATCGGCAACCCATCTTTCCTCAACTAGGCACAGCCTGTCTAGCATTGTAGATGACAAGACAATACTGAGTCACATATAGCCTCTACCGACTGTGTGGCAGAAGCGCCCGAACCTCGAGGTCCTACGACGCCAAAAGACAATGTGGCCGGAAATTGTAGATCGCCCAGAGGATCGCACGAAATCAACTTCCTACGCTATGGGCCTGGTGTTTTGGGCGGAGTCTCCGCAGCATCAATAAAGCGTGAGACTACGGCTTAGAAGCAAGTTGTAACCAGACACATACTCGCATTACCTTATCAAGTGATAGGTTCGACACCTGTCCGGAAGTAATAAGCTTTCTTGTAGACTTCAAGGTGGAGGAGTTCGCGAATAACAACGGGTGGCAGTAACGGTTAAAGATTATCTTTGACGCAATGGCGCGAGCAAGGAAGTAGCGGGACAAGCTCCCACATCCTTCGTCCCAAGTCTGCCGGTGCTTGGACGTTATTTTCATCAGGATCCGCATAACTGACAGGCTCAAACAGGGGTATAAGCGGGTGCGGTAGAATGACTCTGATGAGGCGGTCGTTCGGAAAAACTGGAGAGTCAAGACCATGAGTCTCTTATCGCCTACGGCGAGACGAGTATCGTGGTCAACATTGGCAGCAAAGCCTACGAGTAAGATGGTTAAGCCACCCGTTTTCGCCTCGCCATGTCTCCTAGTGGCTCACTTTCCCAAGACGGATATCATCATCAGAAGCCAGTGTCCGCCAATTTTAAGACTCCGGAAGTTCTTGACCGCGTGCTTCCTGTGCCTGGTTTTCGGCAAGAGATTCGAGAATGGCATCTGGGCTTCTGTCTTGTCATCTGGAGTTGCGTACTCCGTACCCCTCCAACACACCCTGGCTACCCAGGCTTTCCATATCCACCCTCCCACACTTCCTGGATCCCCGTCGTGATGGGGCAGGGGTTAGAGGAAAGGGCCGCTTGGAGGCAACTCGAAGGCGTGTGGCCCCCGGTCAATTCAAGCACCCTCCAAGAGCTCGCAAGATGAGCATGGGATATGAGATGGGGTGAGATGAAGTGTGACGACAACCAGCCAATCGTCAGCTGCGCTGCCTTAGATGAGACGCCGGGTACCCAGCGCTTGCTACTCAATATCCTTTGTAGGGTCACCGTCTGGCTTGGGAGTCTGTTCGATGCGCATCACGGACGAGGGATCGTGCCAGGGAGTGTCGAGGGAAGATCACAAGCAGAGTATCTGCTGATTCTAGGGCCTCCAAACTACCTGGCGCTTATCAAGTCGAATAACGATCTAGGTACACGATCAACGGTATAGGGTCGTCACAGAAGGGTAAGGGAAAAAGGACAAAGACTATTCTGGGCAAGCGCTTTTCGAGAAGCAGTTTCAGGATACCTTTTTCAGAATCCAAAAGCCCATTTGCTCATCTTTACTTTCCATTTTCGCCTAGAGTCTGGGGTCATTAGAACGGCCTGATCTCTGGCTCTGGCTGTGTCTCTAATTTCCTTCTTCACCTTCTAGCTAACTGCATGCCGTCCCGCCGCACTTCCTTGCTCATCTCCCCTTGTCATTATTGAATCACTTCTCTTCATCAAGGGTTTGGTTCAACCTCTCTTGTTGAGACCTCATTCACACTTTGCTTTCCATCCTCACACGGCAGACGCAAGCAGAGGGCCGAGCATCATCATTCGATGCCAGAGTGGACCGAAGCAGGAGGGGACCAGAACCAAGTTTTCAGGGCCCAGTGCTTCCGCATCTGACCAGCTTTGCATCCCTACAAGACTGGACTCTCTCGAAAATTCTCACACCGGCTTCCTCCAATGACCGAAGGATTCCAGCGAGCCCCTCGCCACTGAGATCGCTACAACAAACCTTTCCTATAAACCCGCCACTTCTACCATCCCAGCTCCACACTGTGGCAACTCAGCCCTCGAGTCTTTGCAACTTATCGCACTTTCTTAACGACTGCTCTCAGAAGTCTCAAAGGCTCGAAGTCGTGGCCTGACGTCGTCGTCTCAGCCTCGAAGAGACTGCCCTACGATCAAACGAGTCTAAGAAGCGGTAAACAGACGGGCGAATAGGAACCATCCTGTCTGCTGTCTGAGACAAGCTACCTGGCCCCCACGTACAGTTGTCACCAAACGTCCATCAATCATCGAGAGCGTTCCTACTAGCGCGTAGGTTCAACTAATAAGCCGAGATTTTCATCTGGTGGCGCTGGAAAGGTACAGCCATCTGCCGCGGTCCATTCGCAATCCAACACAACGTTCTAGCTGCGTGGTACTACTTGGGCACTCCTTGAATGCAGCCGCACGTCAAGCAAGGTATGTAAAACATCAGAGTTCTTCCCCCTTTTGTTTAGGTACTCACCTGGAGGCTCCCTGATGCTCGACAAACTGCTTGTTTTCTATCCATCTGCTCCTCCATATTCTTCTTCCTTGGAGTCTCGCACTCTCGTTCTGACCGACCACCATAGTGAATCTGAACCCTGGTTACAATTGCCAGACCTTCGAGCCCCGAAAGAACTCAAAATTGGGATATCAGGGTTGAGGGAGTTATACATCCAAGACTGGGTTCCTTATACTTGAGAGGCATTTGCTGTCTAGAACTGCAAGCCCATTGGCGGTTATCTCTTCGACGACCATCTCCAAAGATCAGTCAGGTACACACCCCATCGATGCCCCATCCCCATGTAACGGCGCGACTCCAGAATACCTAACCTGGATGCCCAAGACTGCAAATGTGTTTGTTGACACCCTTCTTGCCGTTGTAGTCCCAGATTTTCCAGAGAAGCAAGGAGGGCAGTCGCTATCGTTCAGCAGCTTGTAACTGGCAAGGTACGTGCCTTTCTTTTCTTTTCTCGGATTATTCGTCACCTCTCCCTCGTGCGTTCTTTCCTCCTTCGTGGTTGGCCTTCACATCATGCAAAAGCGTACTTAGGGTTGAATCTTTTGTCTGACCACGTTTTGGTCTCATTCTCAGGCTCGATACATTTGCCTTTCTGTCTCCACGTCACACCTCCCAAGCATCACCATTGACCGACTCGACCCAATATACCCTCGATATAACGGCCGCAGCTGCATGACACGCATCCCAACGCAGATAACTCGAGAATACGCTGTTCTACAGTTGTTGTTATTAGACTCCCCTTCCTACCCAACTTGAGTGGTAATCATCAGCCCACGGGGAACGGGAAAAACTTGGGGAGCCGACCCAATTTTGACAGCAGCCCATTCAGAAAGCTTCCCGGCTTTGGTACACCATCCTGGCCGTTACCGCACTCGCAGCTTAGCTGGACCACTCAAATCATCTCGATTGGTCCGTCCCTGGCATCGCTTTGTGCCGTGTCCGCATCGGTCATAATCGCGCTCTATCCGTGCCGCACCCAACACGACATCGAACAGCAAATCTTGACCCGGCATTTGGGTAGTCCACTCGTTAACGCTTCTGCGAAGCATCTCTTGACAAACATCAGGGACGCACTGCATTCTCCTTGATTGCTTCTTCGAGGCCTCGATTCCGGACCAACATCAGCAGGTCTCGACCATCATTACGCCCGGATTCTGGAGTTGTCTTGCCGGTCAAAAGGAGACAACACCCTGAAACGCCTTTCCCCATTTCCATCTCGTGACGCTTCGACATCAAGAGGTTTATCAAGGGTATAGCAGGAAAGGTCTTTGACCTTTGTATGGACCTCGCTTCCCGAGAAGGACTCGACTTGGCAACGTCACCGACTTTTTGGAGCATAGGGTTCCATCATGTCTTACCCATACCCTACGCATCTGCTTCCCCTTAGTTCCGATATGGACGTTCCTCGTTCTGGCTTTGCGCCCAACTTTGGCGCATCAGGCTCGGGCCAAGCATCGATGGACCACGGAGCCCATGATCCAACAGACCAGGAGCGTAGAGATTCCATCTTACAGGCGAGTCGTCGAAAATCGAAACGCTCCTTGAACAAGCCTAATATCAGACTGCGGCAGGCCAATATATCTGATTCCAGTCAGTCTGGCCAAGCTGGGGACAAGAAGAGAAACAAGTTGGGCTATCATCGGACCTCGGTAGCTTGTGGTAAGTGGCTGTACCCTGTCCTCTCGCGTCCTTTTTGGATTTGTATTGACGAAAACAACGTCAAGGGCATTGCCGCAGGCGGAAAATTCGGTGCATAATGTCAGAGGTACAAGGCGATGGCCGATGTAGAAACTGCATCAGGTTGAAGAAAGAGTGCAGCTTCTTCCCCGTAGACCAGGCCCCGTCTCAAACCACTGAACCAAGACCCAAACCGCAACCGACACCTGCCGGAGGATCAAAGACCGCTTCCGCATCGTCTTCTCCCGTGGTACTTCCTGGAGAAGCCCTAGAAGGATCCCAACACTATCAGCACCATCAAGGAGGAGTTCTGCCCTCGTCACAAAACCTACTGCCGACAACTATCCAGACTTCTGCGGTTGAAAATCTTGGCCAGGAGCCCATAGGTCAGTTTCCACGCGACCCAGATATACGTCGAATACCTAACAAGCAATAGTGCCTGCTTCGAGCACTTCGACTTCTTCCCAGCGTTACGATTTTGCGAACCCCCAAATCACGAACTGGGTATCACCAGATGTTAGTTCCAACTATGCAACACAGTCAGGCGACTATAAGGAAACGAAGAAGTCTTACGCTGAACAGTCCCCAATTACTCCGTCTCCGTCATTCTCGCCGTATACGTCTCAAGCCCTATCGTCAGCTAGCTGGAGCAACGCAGATGCCAACGCTCACAGCAACATGGGATATTCATCATTTGCAATGGGGAACTCTATGGCATACCCAAGAGGCACGCAAATACCTTCACAATATCCCACGATGCCACAGCAGAGCCGGCAGTTTCCGAGAAGGTCTTCGACGCCGATGACGACTGACATGTACACCCCAATTGCGACAAACTTCCCAATTATGGACCCGCACACTGTTTCCATGTCTGCAGGTGCGAATCCGCCTTCCGGTTACGGTGCTTGGCCACAGCAGCAGCAACAGCAGCAACCCCCTTACGGCTATTCTAGGCCATCCGAGGGATACGATAATTGGACGGCTTATGATAATAGTAGCGGAAGCTAGACACTTCCTAGCCTTAAACGTTCTGCATCGTCAATCGGAAATTTCGGCAAACCCGATCCCAAGAATTCTCCTTCTGCTTCAACTTCTATTGAAGCTAATGTTTCACTCCAAGAGGATGAGGCGGAGCCTGTGGTTCAGAACCGAGAGAAGAAGAAGAAAAATAAAAATCCTTAACAAACATGAGGCCGAGTAGAAAAGGAAGGAAAGTAGTTCTGTTTCAGCGAACCGGAAAAGTGTGTTCCAAGCGATGGCTTTGAGTCACTTGGAAGGGCTCGTGTTTTCGATGCATCAGACATGGCGTTGGATTGGCGCGATGTATTCGAAAATGGAGCTGATTCCACAACGAGAAACGACAGAAAGCAAGCAATGGGAGTTGAGAGAATTTCAAAAGCAACAGCAACCAGATACCCCATTTTCAAAGGAGGAGCAAGGGACACCATCACCGACGACCTCTCTGCAACATCGGAATCGAACGAAACGCGCAGTCAATAATAGACGGGTCGAGGGGTGATGAGTGTTGCCGGAAGACGTCAGATTTAAGTGCAAGCACATTGCGGAAGGAATCTTGCGGGGTCCCGAGCGCAAGGCGCATGGCCGATGCCGAGCAAGCGGGGAGGGGGAGGAGCCTAAGAGGAATACGAGGTCACTTTTGTCTCGGGATCGCACCGTGGGACGGGGGTTCGGGCCGGGCGCGACGACCCGCAACCCCGGACGACTGGACCAGGAGTCTCTTTCACTTTATTTTATTTTATTTCATGTCCATATTGGCAGTCAGCATTGAGGAGCCAGAGGAAGTCAGGAGCGGTGGCAAGTGGACAAAAGAGGATTCGAAAAGAAAATGGGGGAGATCGCGCTCAGGGACTGGAGACACACACATTTTATACCACCGGCGTCATCATGACGCTTACCTGTTGCTCATCACTTAGTTGTTTTTCTTTTCTTTTCTCACCTTCATCCTCAGCAGAACTCTTTCAATTCACCGTACAACATTCTTTGTACTCTACAACTTTCCTGGTTGTTGGTTCTCATCCCCCATTTCATCTTTTCTCAAGCGCGCGTCATCTGAGTTTATAGATTCCTCTGACCTCCGAAAGCTTTTTTTTTTCTCCGAAATTGGCAAATACTTCAATACAGATTTGTTTCTAGTCTGGTATTCCCCTGGCCCTTGGCGGCTTTGTTCCCGGACCTACCAGGCTTCCTCACAACCCATGAGAAGAGGCCAAAGCCAAAGCCCAACGATCTTGTGCAACAAGCGGTATTGTACAGGATTGATGTCACATTTAGTTGCTCGTCATCCCGAGAGGTTCGTTCATGGCCCTGTCTCTGGCAAAGCCTCTAGTTTCAGACGTACGTGAAGATGACCGTAAAAGTCGATAAAGATTGAGACCAACTAGAAGGACACGCTGAGTCGTGGACGAACGAACTGGCTTTCGGGCATCAACCAGCCCCCAGCGCATAGCAAACGGGGTTTATATCAACCTCACTGTGATGTTAGGTGTGCGAGTGATTCTTGGGTTGAATCTAAAGAGAATTGCTCTGGTGTATGAGTAATATTTACCGGAGACAAGAGATTTCTAAGATATCTTCGATAGTTTGCCCACTCTTTGTCTGCCTTCAACTCAGGGTTCCCTAACTCGAGGACAAATTTCATACCCCATGGCCGGTGTATACGGAGATTTATCTCCCTGACAAGCTTACAGACTGCACAAGCGTAGCAACACACCGTCTGGTAGTGTCTAAATTCTTCGAGGACTTCGATGTCCCGACACCTCACCCTTGCCGGTGTCCATCGTTAAGGACGAAATACTTGACGTTGCCGATGCCCGTCATCCAAATTTGGGTTTCCGGAATATTGGTCATTTATTATAGAGCTGAGCCTCTGATATCTAAGGAGTTCCGTGAAAAGCCATCCATTGCCCCATGTCTGCCCTGGGAGAAATTTGATGGGTTTTGTCGGTGGATTAAGATTGATGACTGAGAGTTCCGGGGGATAGCTGCTCGAAAAGAAGACATCGCCGTGGCATTCCTCATTGTACGGCGAGAGGGACGAGAAGGACGGACCAGCAGTGATAATCACCCGGTTCAATCTCCTCCTCCCTCCCGGCGTCTCCCATTGCAAAACCCTTCAAACGCCAGACCTCACCCACGCCGTTCGCCGCAACCCATTCCCCCCTCCAGCTGGCTCACACCTCACTGCACGAGCTGCCAAGTAAGCACCAAAAGCGTAACATACGCAGCAAGACTCAACACAGTAAGCAACGCAACACTATTCCCGCTCGTCCGAAACTTGCGCACCAGCCCCCCGCTCGCGACGCCGCTGCCCTCGTCCACTTTCGGACTCGTAAAGAACTGGCGGTTCCCCTCGTGGCGGCGGAAGATTGCGACGAACATGACGGCGGCGCCGTAGACGGCAAACAGGGCGCCGATGGCGTAGAACTCTGATGTGAAGATTTTGAGAATGATGAGGGCAAAGGAGAATTGGGAGAGGGCTGTGCGCATGTAGGCGCCTTCAAAGGTTCGTTGGGCGGCGCGGATTTCGACGAGTCTTTTTTGGGGGGGAGGGGGAGTGGGGAGTCAATTATGTAGATACACTGATGGGATGATGGGTAGGACTCACTCTTCGGCGGTTAGGATTACGGACCGGGCGCGGTGTAGGCGCAGGTGGAGGTGGTCTTGGGGGTTTGGCTGTGTGGATGAGAAAGTTGATGGTGAGCCGCGGTAGTTCATTACGAATTTGGGTCCTTCAAGACTGTGATCTAGCGTTGCAGGAGATGCTCTCCTTGGACATGGGAACACGAACCTGGAACATTGCGATGACGAGTATTTGAGAGCCTCTTTACTGTGCTGCTATCCTGAACAGTCCGGTACACGAATGCTTCGAGAAATGCAGTCTCGATGAGCCGTCTTGGATTGCGACTGGGTAGTATCTGTACGGCTTCTTCATAAAAAGAAATGAAGCCAAGGCGGCAGGGGCCGAATAGTCAAATCACGAATGGCGGAATTCAGGGCTGAAATGGTTCCATACCCATTGGAGATCCAGAGTTGATAGATTCCGCACTTCACAATGGAAAGGTGAGGTGTGAGGTGTAGTGCCTTTGAGTTTCTGGGCAGGTGATCTCCACCCTTGCTCGTGGTGGTGGTGGTGGTTGTCGCCGAGGTGGATCAGGTGCCGTGATTAGATAAGCCTGCCAAGACGTCCCCGAGGATGCGTTCATCGTGTCCCAGAGTGATCTCTTTCTGCCTACGGAGTACTATAGCTGGTTACCTCAAGATACACATGAATTTTTGCATGGTTTGCTCGATTGGATATTTTGCTGCCCATGGAGCTCTCGTTGAGATGTCGAGAGTTTCTCATAGTCTAGGAGATTTAACAGAGGTCTGCTTCAAGCCTTGGCAATCCTCACGCATGCGAGGGTCCATTCAAGGTTCGAGGTCGCCGAAAGCTTTCCATACTCGGCACCGTGGCGCAACCGACGCATTTGCTGCGTCTATTTCACAGGAGAGCATGCCCCATCGACGGGTACTAATCAAAGTAACCGCTAGGAGATCGCGTTTATTGAAGCCTCTTATCGATTGGGATCTCCCCGTCACTCGCGGATCAGGCGGAAGAATGGGGAGGACTCATTCTTGAGGCACACTTGGCAAGCACGAATAACTAGACAACTCAGGGTCTGCGGTAGCACTAGCCGCAGATAAGGCACGGAGGCGCATGTCAACAAGCGACGGGAGCATGGAAATGCCGGTATTTCCATGGCAAGCGTGAGGCGTCGCCGACATTGACGGACGGGTCGGGGATCTCTGTGGCGCTGCGCAACCCTGATGCCGCCCGCTGGTTTCGAGCGGCGACCGGCGGGGTGCACCGCCAGGTCAGCGGTCAAGCTCAAAGACGACACAGCGCTTCGCAAGTTCGCCCAGGGTCCCCTCCTCGACTGAAATATCCGATCTCCATCACGGCGGCTGCGGCTGTGCATAATGGTGCTAGGCCCCACTGACCAATGTCGCTTTCCCCAGTACTTCGTACCCGTTGCAGAGCGGATTATGGGGTTTTCGGTTTTTTAGACTCTTGAATGCGAGAGCGATATGACAGCCGAGCTGAGAGCGTTTCTGCTGCCATTTGGACGGGCGATCCTTAAGCGGAAACAATTGTCGATATTTGCGACACTCTGCTCGGGGGCTGATGCCTATGCGTAAGGAAGTGTTTGGCACATGGCATGCATTCGTACTTTATGTTACTGTAGCATGCAACTTTTCAGCGCGAAGCACCTACATGCCGTCGGATGACATCAAGCGTCTGCAAGTCGCTAGGTCTGACGAGTGCTTTTCAAGGGTTTGGTCTGTGGTCGGCATAAGGTGTACTCCGTACACCGTAGGCACACAGCATCGACGAGAGAATGTGCGAGGGACGATCCGGAGCCAGGGCCGGAAGTGGAAATCTGCCTTCTCGGTGAACACAGGCTGACCCAAGGGTTATCGATGGTCGATGGTCGATGACCAAATGTCGTGTCGAGGTCGAGATGACAATACTCTTTAGGCATTATCAAGCCCAGGGACAAGAATCCAGCCACTACTCCACCAAGGTACTGTGAGCCTGTGAGGTAAGGCGACGGACGCTGAGAATGACGGCAGAGTGTGATTTGAGTGGAGGAATGAAGGTAAGCCACAGTAGCTTGCATCTGTACGACAAGATGTGGTGGGATGCCAGATGGCAGACATGAGGTGGGATGTACGAAGCCCCTTGGGTATTGGATCCATGCTCATGTGGCGGCGTAGCGTAGGTACGGGTACTAGGTATGTAAGATGGGGGGAGTGGGTGAGTGGGTGATGAGATGAGTGTGTGAGGTTTGAGGTGACTCTGAAGTCGACGGGAGGACAGTCGGCGTGTGTCCCAGTTGCAAAGTTGCAGTGGAAAGGTAAAACTGCCCTGGCGGGCTGGGGCTGAGAAAAATGCGCCCAACGACGCCAAAGAAGAACGCCTCGAGCAAATGGAAGAATTAAGACGATACTTTAGTTTCTGGTGTGGGTGGGTGGTGGTCTCAGGTCCCTTGCCAACTAGTTCGCTCCTGGTTCGCTCCTGGTTCGCTCCCGGCCCCCATTCCGCCCTACGAGCAAGTGCGCCTGGAGCTGTCAACCACTCAGAGACGTGGACGCTCCTTCTGTCTCTCGGAGTCTTCCAAATGCCCCACATGTCGGAGCGGGGCAGCGTTTGCTGCATGATGTGTCGTGGAGCGAGGAAGGAAGTCGCAGTCGAGTCGACATGAATGGTGAACGGGGAAGGAAGCACGCAGGTGGCAGCAGGAGCATTACTAAGGCAAGGCATTTTGAGATCAAGGTACTTTCTTGAACCTGGAAGCTTCCTACATGACGCACATTATTATGGCAAGGTACGGATACCTTGGGAGGATATCATATCTCCTATATGTTGGGTCAGCACGTCAGGTACCTGACAACAACGCGATTCTACAGGGCATCATACAATCCAGCAGTGGCGCTCCTAACCGAAACTCGGGATCAAGAAGGCGTGGTTCCTCCAGGTTTCGGCCGAACACTTGAGAAACCATGTCTGAACCAGCGATGCGAACAGACGGGCAGCAAATCCGCATGTCATCTCTACCTTGTTGTTCTCGGGGCCTAGCCACTAGGTAGTCCGTCCTCCGTCACTCCGTCTCTATGGCCAGGATATCATAGCATCGGTAAAGAACCTTGGTGACAAGAGGGCAGCGTTGTGGCGCATTCCCGCTGAAGGTGGGCTGCGCAAGTGGCCGGCATGCTAAGGTACCGCTACCGCCCACGCGCTTCACTGAGACAATGGAACCTGAATGTCGACGGCGGACCGCACGGGACAGCTGAACCTGGAAGATAGACGACCAGGCAGACTGCCAGACACACAGTCAACCAGCCCCGAGTCTAATTCAATGGGTGTGTGGGTTGGCGGGCGGTGGGAAAAGGTACCGAAACTCTGACACTTTTTGCTGTGTCCTTCTCGCTGTGTGTGTGTGTGTCTCTCTCTCTCTCTCACTTTCCATTTCTGCTCGCATCGAAAATCACCTCCCCAAGGTCCCATTCCTTGCCTACGTTACGGATAGTATAGAACAAGGTACCTTTATCTTTACCAAAAGGTAAAATGGTACCGTACTTCTTAGCCCTTCCCATCTAGGTTGACCTTCGATTGACTCTACAGCGCATCTTCGCATCTTCGCCATGCACCACTTCACCTGCACACGTCCGCCTAATTGCCTTATTGACTTAAGGTAAGTAGGTCAGGTACCTGACTTCTAATTGGTTTCCGCCCCTCCTCGAGATTGAATTCCGTCCTGTCTCGCGCTTGTCTTGTCACAATCGCATCCCCACCCCCAACCGTCTCTTACTTCTCCAAGGTTAGCCTGTTAGGTACCTCACGCCCATCCAACCAGCCCTCCCCTCGTCATCCCAAGATCATCTCTCCCTCTCTCTCCCTCTCACATAGTCTCACCAACTCTCTCTCTCTCTCTGTCTCTCTTCCCCTCCCCCCCTCCTCCGTCTCCCGTCTGGCTCGCGACTCTGCTGCCACTCTCAACACATGCGCCGCTCTCCTAGGCTCTCTTCCGCCTCGTTCTACTGTCTCTGCATGATCTCATCGAGTCTTGTACACCCCCTCGCATACCCCTGATTTCCGAGCCTCTTTACACAAGACCGCGGATACTCTTTCGCATATCCCGCTTCGCACCCCCCCCGTTCTCGCGCCGTCCCATTGTCACCGTCTCCATCTTGGCTATACTTCTCTGCGACCAACTTCAACTCAGCCTGATCGCGAAACGCCGCAAACAACTCTTTAGCTTTCGAAACCAGTGCCTTAACGCTCACATACCTAGACAAGCACTTGATCTATTTCTTGCTGCTTGCCCCAGTTGTTCCCCACGGCGCCTGTACGAATACACAATCAGCGAATCCCAAGCATAAGCGCTGGACGAAAGAGACGACCAACACGTTTAGGCCGCGCAAACGCCGCCGCCCTACACGACCGTATCCTCTTCTTGTGGCTTTCCCCTTGCTCGCTGGCGACTCCTCTTCTCCTCCACATTCAATCACTCTGTGGTATCGCATCGCCTTGTCAACACAGTCTCGTGCCTTTCTTCAATCCACAAACTCGTGCAAGACTGCTTCCTGGAGCCCTGTTGCGACTGCCGCTTAACCCCGCCTCCAGCCTGCTCACTTCATCGCATGCAATCCAGCCAACTCAAGCAAGTCAGAACATGACAGCGCCTGTCTCCTAACAACTCTCAAAGAGTAGTTCCGCCCTCGGCCGTGGTTCCGTCTCGCCTGATCTACCGTACACTCACATCAGGGAGACCTACACATCAAGATTAGCCTCTACTACAATCTCCCATACACACTCGCGTCGTGTCGTGGCCATGGCTTCGACATACGCCGTACCTCCCGCAGCCTTCCACGAGGGACAAGCTAGCGATACCCACAACCCCTCCCCCCCACCAAGCAGTGGTCAACGACGACTGACTGCCACTTCATTTGACCCGAATCATCTCTCGCCTTCATCCCAGTTGCAGAGCAGCTCCGTCTCACCCAACTACAACGATACCCCAGCCGAGTCCATCTCCAACTTCAGTCAATATCATTCGAGCGATTACAGCGATATGGACGATGGACTGGACCCTTTCTTTGGCGTCGACTTCAGCAATACTGAAGCGGGTACGCCCTCTTTCCTGGACCCGGAACACAGAACCGACAGCTTTGGCCAGGCCACAATTTCCCAGGCGAGAAGCAAAAACCTGGACGCCAACACCTATCCATATACCCCTGAACAAACGGCATCACTACACACAACTTCACCGCGCAGCGATATGAGAACGGTTGCCAAGTCTGTGCCTGAGCGACTACCTCTTTCCATCTCACCTCAGGAGCTACAAAGGCCATTCCAGCCTCCTCAGATTTCCACTTTCGCCGCACAGTCCAATTCTCAATTGACACCAGATCTCAGTGGCAGTGGTCGTTCCAGTGAGGACAGTGCAGTTCCCTCTCCTCCCATGATGGCTGCGCAGAGCCCTCGAGTGACTGTCTCCATGTGGGGAAAAGATGCCACAGAGCCCGTGCAGTCAATTGAGCGCACATTCACACCAGACGACGAGAACTCGACCACAGTACATGCCGGGGTCAACTCTGCCGGTGACTTGATTTCGTCTCAGGGACCAGTCGCTGATACAACGACCCCACGACGCTCTTCGTTCAGCCGACGAGGATTGGATCCGACGAATAGACCGTCTACCGAAGTTTCAAGCGTAAACGAGATAATGACTCGCCGTGAGATCGAAGAAAAGAACCAAGAAGTCAATCAATGGCTGTCTTGTAGCTTACACAACGACGAAGCTGTAGCATCTTCCGGGCCAGAGACCAGATTGCATGCAAGCCCCGATGCCATGGCTGGGGAAGACGGCATCCATCTTGGCGATCAAACTGAAAACCGCCATCAACCCGGGCAAACTTATTTCACAGCTCGCGGCGGCGAGATGACGGCTACGGACTTCCATATCATGAATTCGAACCGCGTCTGGGGTGACTCGCCCGTGGTACACCCTATCAGTGGCCCAGACACAGACCGGTACCAGCCGGAGTCTTCACAAGCTGCGATGGCTCGATTCAACAGAATGTGTATGGACAACGAATCCATCATCTCCAAAGCGGCTACGTGGGGCACGCGCAGACGCAGTTTGCCCAGCGTTATCGACATGGACACCGAAAATGTCACCAGTGGAAACTTATTGAAGAAGCTGTCTATCAGCAGAGGCGAGGGTGGTCGGAGGCCAAGCATTCTCAAGGATTTGCGTGGCCTCGTTCGTCGGCCGAGTGCCAGCCATCTGCTTAAGCGGTCTAGGAGCACCAACGGCGAGAACGCTCCCAAGTCGGAGGCTCCGCCCCCTATGGAGAAGCGTGAGAGTTTGCCTCATCTTCTGCCTACTGCACGTACTGGCAGCTGGGGGTCTAAGAAGACACCTACACCTAGTATTAACACCGCCCTCGTCAATATGGGAAGCAATTTTGCTTCAATTGGTACAACACACGCGCGGAATGGTTCGATCGGCGGCGGCACGCCCATCACATCACCCAAAAGTCCCTTTGGCAGTCTTCAGGTCAAAAACACACTTCGTCGACCAAGGAGCAAGTCGGATCTACCAAAAGCTAGCGGAAACGAAACACACTCAAACCTTGTTGGCATGTGGAGGAAAACAGGCGGCCCACCTGTAGCTGTCCTTGCCAAGGGCAACTCGACAAATGTTGACCCGGATGAGGATGACGACGACGAGGATGACCTTTACGAGGATGGTGACATGAATGCTGAATCTAGCAAGTTGATTCAGGATGTCTCGCCAAACTTTGCAGGCTTTCAAACGCATGTTCTCCGCCTGAACCCGGATCTGGCAAGCACCAATAACTATCTCGTTGACCGGATCGCCCATCAGCAGGTCGTTCGCTACAAAAGCCTCCTGAATGCCAAGGTGAAGCATCTTGGGATTGGTCAAGCCTGTTCGTGCGGATCATTCTGTCTGGCTCGCGGCGGCCGTCCAGTCCTGCTTGACCATCGAGGCGATTCACGAGACATCGACCCTTTGTCAACGGGCGCCGATTCTGGAGACGGAGACTCAACTCCCATGGAGGGTGCTATTACCAAGGACAGCTTCCCACAGGACATACCTATGCCGCCTACGCAATCCCTCCCGGCGGAATTTGAGTGCCAGCTGTGCTTCACTCTGAAGAAACCCAAGAAGCCATCTGACTGGACGAAACATGTCCACGAGGATGTGCAGCCTTTCACTTGCACTTGGGACAGATGCCGTGACCCCAAGATCTTCAAGCGTAAAGCTGATTGGGTACGCCACGAGAATGAGGGCCATCGCCATCTAGAGTGGTGGACCTGTGACGTCGAGGACTGTCGGCACACATGCTACCGCCGGGACAATTTCTTACAGCATCTCGTGCGCGAACATAAGTTTGTCGAGCCCAAAAACAAGACCAAGGCCGCCATCAAACGAGCTGGTGGCATCGACCCTACCTGGCAAAAGGTAGAACAGTGTCGTCACGAAACAACAAAGAGGCCACAGGAGGAGCCTTGTCGATTCTGTGGCAAACAGTTCCCAACATGGAAGAAATTGACAGTCCACTTGGCCAAGCACATGGAGCACATCAGTCTGCCCATTCTACGCCTAGTCGCGGCCAAGGAGCTGGAGCCAGACACCATCATCAGTCCTGTGCAAGACCCCCCGCCCAGGGCTCCTTTCAATGCGCCGACTCCTCTGAACGAGTCGGTCGTCAAGAGTGAACACTCTCTTCACAGCTACGGGAACCAGTCGTCGTATCAACCTAACGCCATGATGGCGAACAGCAATGGTCTATACCAAAATGTGAACCCCCTTGGGTACTCGGGTGTTGAGGGTAACTCCCAGTTTCCAGACTACATGTACTCTTCCCAGTACTCAAACACCACTCAGCCGATGGCTCAGAACTTGATGGGTATGCAGCCTGTCAACCGAGGAACCCAAGGATTCAACCAACAATATCAAAACCCAAGCAACGTGGCCGTGCCTGCAGCGTCGTACATGGGAGCGCAGCAACAATACATGTCGCTGGCGCAGGAGACGGAGCCCTTTCCTGCACTCGACCACAACGCCCTGGGCCTACACCAACCTGGGCAGATGGGTGTAGGCATGGCCTATGATGGACTCATGGGGCAGAGCAACATCGATGAGAATCAGTACAATTCTCAGGGATCCATCTCACCCTACTCACACTCTCCTCTCCAAGGTGGTTCAGGGTTCTATCCCCCTTAGTAAGTCACGCAGTATCTGTGTGTCACGAAGAGGCCGTCAAATATTCGCTTCAATCTATCGCGTATTTAGATACCCTTTTTCATAGCAATTTAGTCTGGTATTTTATTCATCTGTATGGAACGCGAACGCCGGGCATGGCCCTCGCTTGACGATATATCAATGTTACGGCCTACACCAGTATCGAAGCAAGCACGGTGGTGCTCAGGATGGAGGAACGGGAATAAATATAGACGGTCAACGGAGTCACGGAATTGTATAAGCACAATGATGCCATGCAATGTGGTGGCTAAGGATGACAAGCAAGAGAAAGAGTGCGAGGGTTGAGTACTAAATCAATGGGAGCAAGTGTCATTATATATCCGTACTACTCATGTTTAACGTCGTGCGCTGAGACCTCAACGGGATATCTGTGAACCAGTACCTGTAGAGTATAATCAATTGAGCTTTATTGGCAGAGACCTGTGCCTCCAATAAACCAGCCAGGACAGACGTGAGCCTAATACCCAACGCTATCTTACCCGCTCAATAGCGCGCGAGAACACGGACGCGACATGCCCTTTCCGTGTGCCAAGTTGCTAACCCAGCTTTTTCGTCTCCACCAGAGAAGCATTTTTAGCATCCTGGGTGTCAATGGGTCCATTCAAATGTTCCAGAGATTTCCAATGAGCGGTACGGAGTACGGAGTATGGTTCAAAAATATCTACGGAAGTGAGGAATACGGAGTATGAATGCTCTGATCTCCCGTGGGATTTGCGTCTTCATGTCTCTCTCTCTCCCGTGGAGCTTTACCTACTCCCCATTTTATCGAGCAACAAGCCTTTCCAAGTCCTGGGCGCCAATTCGCTCCCCTTACTCCGTACATTGCCAACATTGCGCTGTTGCGCCTGTTGTGTTCTGAGGTTCCACTGTTTCCAAGGCAAAAGCGTCGCAGTCTCGGGGGGCTCTCTTACGGGGGGGTTTTTTTTTTGGATGGAGAAGGGGGGAGAGAGGGGAGGAGGTTACTGTATACCTAAGGAGGGAAGAAGACCCGCTTCATACGAGGCGCAATAGCGGTAATACTAACCCCGGGCTGGGCCGGGGGGGAACGGACGGACGACCGCGGAATCGCGGTAGACATTTTGTGTACGGATAATGTAGTTGAAATATGACGGGCCGGGTGGTGGAAAGCCGGGCGGAACGAACGGGTGGTTGTATCTGGTGGGCTGGAAAGTGAAAATGTTTCTTATTCTTTCAGGTTTATGCTATCAGGCGGAAAATCAAGTTTACCCAGTACCAATGGAGGTAAGACTGGGAGAGAGAAAAGTCCTTGTGTCGACCGGGACCTGGGACGGACGGAGGTTATTCTGGATCTGGTACTTGATTGTCGGCTACCTTTTCATACTTTGTTACCGTTGTTGCCGTTTTGCATAAGGCGCGGGTAGAAGAAAAAGCAGGGAAGGGCGCGGGCCGGGTAGCTGGGAATATGTACTGGCGTTACGTGTAATGTTGCCCTTCTTTTGCTTGCTTGCTCCTTTTCTTTTCTTCATTTAATCTATTTCCATCACGGGTTCTGGGTTGTGGTTGGTTGGGGGCCCTCGGAAGAGGAGGGTGGGTTCAGATGTGAAGGGTGAACCGGGGCCCAAGCCGTGGGAGTGAGTCCGTGTTGTTTGTGTCGATACTGTACTTATATGTCTGGACCGGAAAGTGAGTGGACAGAGGTCGGGAGAACGATTTCGGAATGAATAGTGGTGAAGGGGGATGAGAAAGAAGGAAAAACGCAAAACGTGCTATTCGGACTTGGTTTCGGAAAGCCAAGGATGCCTCTCGCTGAAGAAGTTAGCCAAGCAGAAACTGACCAAACGCAAGTTTGCAACGTAGAAGAAGGCGAGGGGGGTGAAGCCTTATCAGTTGGATTGCTTTTTTCTCGGGACTCGATTCCAGAGCGCGAGCAATGATCATTTCAGGCTCTGGTCGGTTGTTAAGAGGTCATAGCTGGAATGTGTCAATGCACTCGTTGTCATGCCCCCTCACCCGCCGAGCCATTGGGAAGTTTGGAAAGATACCGTGGGTGTGGTACGGGGTCAGAAGCGAGGAACATTGATGGAGGGCCTATCTACGGGATGGTGCGAGTGTATGAATAACCGTATGGACGGCAGTGTGAGTGAGGAATTAGGCGAGGGATGATGCTTGACAATGACGGAGGGAAGGTGAGTGTGTGCGCGTGAGAGAGAGAGAGGCCGGGGTCCGGGGAGGCCGTCCTGGAGGCCTACATGCGTTTCTTCCGCCGAGACCAGTCTGGTGGGAGGATAGAAGGCGCTTAAGGTCCGAGACATGTTGGGCATTCGGGGCTTTTGGGAAGTTGGGGGAGACATCACGGATTCACAATTGTTGAAGCCATGATTGGGGTTGGCGATGAAGTCACTTTTCTGGCAGGTTTGAAAGGCACTGGGTATTCATGATCAACCTTTGCCTTCCCCCTCGAAACCCCCGGTGGAGAGTGTTTCCAATCCCACGGTGCCAATGTTCGGGAAGTAGAGCCGTGAGACAAGGACGGATGGGAGGAGGAGGGGGGTAAATCAGGGGCTTCGAAGAGTTTCGGTGACGTTTGTACGGAGTAGAGAAACTACAGACAATACTGCCGTAGAAGTTGGAACCATTGGAGGGGAAAGGAAGGAAACAGGCTTTGTTTGACGACGGCGTCGACTGGATGTAACTTTTCGAGGGGGAAAAAAAAAAAGAAGGTTGCCCTTGGAGGAAGAATCAAGGTTTTGGGGTTAAAGGGGTGCGGCAGACGACATGTCGTCGATATCGGATGAAAAGATTGACAAGTCAAGACCCAAGGGGGCGGTGCGTCCGTCTAGGCAGTTTTGGCGGGGGGGTTCTGAGGCACAAGTCGTTTGCATTGCGTTTGCTTTGCCCGTTCGAGGCTCAGGCAAGAGCTGAGATGAGCTGAGCTCAGCATATCCGTACCTACCTACTCAGCAGAACAGAGCAGAGCAGAGCACGGAAGCATCTGCACATCAAAGGAGATGAGACGAGACGGCGTGGTATATGCGGCTTGGAGGATGGAGGAGGAGTGCTGTGGCATATGCACGGCACGGAGCCGGAGTGCGCGCTGGCTTGTTGCCCGGACTTTCCTAACTGACGGGACGGACGGGAGCCGGTGGACGGATGGAGGGGTAAGATCCGTCACTTGGCTAAAGTCTGCAGGTAGGTATCCGCATGTAGGCTGCAGTACCAGACAGTACCAGATGAGGACAAGCAATGGTCGGTGCCAGCGTCGAGTATGGGTAGGGCAGAGGTGTGGAAAGTTGGATACTGAGCAAGCAAGCTTTGAGAGGGTTGGAATGTGGCTTGGCAGGTCTCCCGGGGGGCACAAGACGGGCCATCCTACCATGTGTATTTTTCGTAGTTTACGACTTTACATTCTTATGGCAGGTGAGCAGACGTGCGGAAAGGTGGGTGGGGGGGGGGGGAGGCAGACGCGGACGCGGGAGATGGGATGGGAAGAAGGTGGGTGATCCGAAGTCATCATCTTTTAGGTTCAAGTCGTGTGAAAGATCAGGATTGCCCTGCCTCACCCCACGTCGTAGTCCGTGAGTGCGCAGGTTAGAAAAGCCGTCAGGACGCACAGGTATCCGCACATGTTAAGATAAACCGTAAGGTGCAGTGCAGCGGCTATGCCTGAGGGTATTGTAACTACCGTGCTCTTTTTCTTATTTCTGTCCTACAATAATCCAAGATCTGAGAGAAAGTCTGATTGCTGATGTGGACCTAAGATGACGGATCTTGTACATGATAATGCAGGCCTGCCGATCCTTATCCTTACCGCAGTGCACAGCATCGCGATATGAGCGTGGTAGCGATGATGGATAAGCGGCGCGGCTTGGATTGTGACGTGGGGACATTCAGACATACATGTGAGCATGAGATGAGGAGGAGGGGTGTGAGAGATTGGGGGGGGATTGCCAGTTGGAAGACAACGGTTATTTTACACGGTAATCCGGGTTCTTAATCTTGTTAGGGTATCAACGCCATTCGATTGAGTCGAACCGTTTCCATCAATTGATTGTTCCCTTTCATGTGCCGACCTGGAAATAGAGTGGTCTCATCACAATCGTGACCAAAGTCGGTTTAAGCCCGAGGACAAACTGTGGTTACTGTGGTTCTCGACAGGCCCTTGGACAACTCACGAAATTGACCGGCCTGAATTGATCAACGTGGCAGCGGCAAGAATTTCCCGTAGCGCCTGGGCTTTTGATCATTTTCCATCTGTCTCGTCCAAGACAAAATGGGGGCTAGGACCGCTGGAGGGAAGGATGAAAGTCAAACCCACCGATTGGTACCTGTTCGTATTGTGCTGATCGAGGCACTGTTGTTTTGTTTCCTCAATGACGGAGCATAAAAACTTGGATGGGCTCCAGTGAACTCATGAATCGACCACAACCAAGAATTTTTCCACCGGCCTCCCCAGAGTCACAGGCTCAGAGCTGAGAGCTGGACAATTGATGATAGATAAGACATTGTCATTGGTGAAAGACGAGGGTGCTCCTCCTTCTCCGTGATGGCGCAGTTTCATACAGGACCGGGGGTGCAGGGAATGATTTGGTACGGGTTTCCCTGCTTCTTCAGTTCCTGTCTTTCTTTCATCTCTCTGCCTCTGCCGCGTAGCTTTTGGAACGGCGGTAGCCAATGGATCGTATGGCTCACCGCCTGGCAGAAAAGGAGTTCTCCGTACGTAGAAGATGAGGAAGCCCCCCCCGTTCTGGTAGTCGAGGCCGTCCGGCGTCCCGACCAGTCCCCATGTCGATCCACCAGTCCCATTCCGGCTAAGCCCCTTGACGGAGACCCCTGACGCCAATGCAGGGGCGCGGACGGAGTGCGGTTGTTGCGGGCTGGGACGGGTGGGATGCAGAGTTGACTTGTGCCTGTCCATCACCGTACATAAAAGGTACCGTTTTGCTTCCACTTCGCATTAGCCTTTTTTTTCTTTCGTTTTTGCCCCTGAGTCCCGAGGGGGGGCCTTTCGCTCGCGTATCTGCCAGGCCAAGTCCATGTGATGCGTGGTCGCTGACGACAGCTGAACCAAAAGTAACCGGGCAACAGGACAAAGACAATGTACGGGAAAACGGCGGAGGAGGTTGGATTACTCGAGAATGTTCGTGATTCACCTTGGTCACCTTAGAGGCTCAGTGTCTCTGATGTAAAGCGGAATTGCCGAGACCTGCTCCTCCTCGAGGCATGGTTTCGGACTCCACCAGAAAGAATGGGTGAACCGTGTATGTTTATGTAAGGTTAACTTGGTGTTCAGACGTTTTTCCACGGCATGGCGTCACGGTGTGTGGTGTGTGTGAAGCCGTCGACGGTTTACTACGTATGCAGCCGTGTGCCTCATTGCCGTTCAAATGCTCCGTACTCCGTACAATACTTGGTAGACTGTAATTACTCCGTATCTGCATCCGTTTGTATCCGTAAGCTGCATATAGATCAGAAGCTGGGTATCAATCACGTTCCCTTGCTGTCCGCCGCGGCCCTGGCCAACGGTAATTTGATCGCAGGCGGGAAGGTCAGGCAGGTCCCCCCCATCTCTGCGTGATTGCTTGTGGAAGGTAAAGTGCCTTATGTAAGGCGGTACCTGAGAACTCCAGAAGTTCAGGCAATTCGGACCTTGCAAGAGGTACCTTCCTTTCGGTTCGTCGATGCTTGGGGCTTGGGGCTTGAGACTTGAGGTCGCTTGTCGGTACGTATCGTCGCTCACTTCCAGGCAAATTGTTCCTTGCTCCAATCCCGGACCCTCAATCTCTTGTTTCCTCACACCAGCAAGGACTTCGACCAAGACGGGCCAGTCTGGACTGTTCGACCACACGACACCGCGGCTGGTCTAGACAGATGCCAGCGGGGGGCTCAAATGGGGAGGGGTACGGAGTACTGTCTTTGACTTTTTTCCCCGTCTGGTTTTATTCGTACTTTGCAAGACCTTGCGCCGCCGTTTGTTCTCACTTTGCATCAACGCCCGGTACGTACTTCGTACTGCACTTTTGACACCAGACTTTCGTAAAAACTGACATGCATTTGCAGCCTTTCTAGTTTCAAAGGTAAGCTGAGGTTTACCATCTACCGGTCCGGTCGTATTCACTACCCGCCCCCCTCTTCCTCGCAGTAGCCGCCCGCCACCACCGCTAATACGCCTCGCGCCGTCGAACGGCCAAGAGAGATAGAGTCGGGCGACAAGCAAGCCGCACCATGGCATGCTAATGCCAGTGCCGCCGCCAGTCTGGCGCCATGGTATCCTCATACTATCCTCCCCCAGACCACGCTGAGGAAATCAGGAACGGGAGGAGATGATGGGCTGGTTTGGCCGCGCTGGGCTCCAAAGAGGACCCAACCAAGGACCCAGTTCGTCAGCGCCGCTGCGTGGGTCGACCCAATCCTTGGGCTATTACTGGACATAGAACCAGTGCAAGGGCAGAGACGCTCTTGACCAGGGTTGACGGCCTTCCGGCTGGTTGACGTTCCTTTGGAGCCTTTGGAGGTGCCTGGATGAGGAGGCAAGGATCGTGTCAGGGACGAGGTTCCAATCGAACTTGCGCCCGGTGGAGGTGACCAGGGTATTGAACACGACCTCCCACAGATGGTTCCTCTCCCCGTCTTGTCTTGTCCCAGTGGGAGGAAGCGAGGAGACGGACCAGAAACGGTACGGAGTACTGGCAGGTGTGGTCCTGTGGGTGAAGGCCAGCAAACAGCAAAGCAAGAGAGAGAGAGAGAGAGCGCGAGAGACTCGGAGACCGTCCAAATTGTTCGTACCGTTCTTCGTGTGCGTGTGGTGTGCGTGCGTTGCCCCCATCCACACCAATCCGCACGCCATCCCAGGGTCCATGTCCCTTCTTACATGGGGGCCCGTGGACGAGAACAGACGACGCTGAGGTCGCTTCCAGGCTTGGGGCCCCATCTCCCGCCAACCATCGATCGCCAATCGCTTCCCCTTCTTGCTCGTTCGTGTCGTTCCTTTTCCTCCTCTGTCTCTCTCTACGTCTTGTCTCTGCTCCCTCCCTCCCTCCCTCCTCCCACTCCACCACCACCTCCTGACCGGCGTGCATTCTCAGCATCGTCACCTTTCGCTCGTTTCATATACCCGCCCGTGGACTTTAGCCTCTTTTTTCAGCCACTGTCTCTCTCTTCGCCTATCTGGCTGTTGAAGAAACTCTCTCTCACTCTCACTCCAACACACTGCTCACTCTCTCGATCTATCATAACCTCCGACGCCCACCTCGCCACCATAGGTTTTCGACCTGCTTCCGCTGATCCATCTCGTTCGGTGTACAAGAGGCCTCATACGGGCTCATCCCATCGACACCCTTCGGGCTCTGCATAGGCACCTCGCTGCCAGCCCATACTCCCCTTCTTTCCAGGTTGATCCTCGGCCTCTTTTATTTCATCTCTCTCGTGTCATTCTGTTGAAAGCTGTGCTTGCTTCTTGTTAGCCTCTTACCATTTCACAATCCTTCGACTTCACTAGTACACTCCGGTTGTTCTGTTTCCTTTGGTCCACGGCTCTCGCAATATACCCTCCCGACGCGACGACGACGACTCGAATAGTATCAATCGATTCACCAAAGAAAGCTCTCAACACGGTCACCCGACGAGCACGGAACCCCCCTCTCACTACCAACCTCGTTATCAAAGCGTATCAATCATTAAGCTGGGAAAGGGACGGCATCAATCGCAGGGAGTACAGGAGAAAGAAGCACAAAGAGGCTCAAAAAGTATAGACTTTGGATATACCCACCATCACACGGCTTTGGGGAATACCATCGATTCCCGACAGAACGACGAACAACGAATTTTCTACCACCACTTTTTTTTAAACACAACACAATGACGCGAACCGCGCCCAACTGGGGCCCAAAGCGGCTTTTGGCCATGGCCACCGCATTTGCTTCTAGCACGCTCGCCGACTCAATCCTCAAGACAAGCAGCTTCACGACCTGCGGTAACGATACCGCGATTACCGTTCAGAAGATTGATATTCAGTACAACAACGACAATAAGACCGTCACCTTTGATGTAGCAGGAACGAGCTCCAAGGAACAGAACGTCACAGCCATCTTGGATGTCAGCGCCTATGGCACTGCCATCTACTCCAACACCTTTAACCCATGCGAAGCAGGAACCTTTGTCGAGCAGCTCTGCCCTGGTATGTTCCGGCTGTGAATGAGTCAACGTTTGGGTTATGGAAATGCTAACAAATCTCAGTCCCCGCTGGCAGCTTCTCTGCTCGTGGCACTCAGAAGATCCCCGATGAGTACGCCAGCATGGTTCCAGACATCGCCTTCGCAGTCCCCGATATTGCCGCTCAGGCCAAGCTTCAGCTCAAGACCCTCGACTCCAACGAGGAGGTTGCCTGCATCACGTCCCAGGTTACCAACGGCAAGACCGCCAGCGTCGCTGCCGTCTCTTACATCGCCGCCGGTGTTGCCGGTCTTGCTCTCGTCGCCACCGGCGTGTCTGCAGTCAGCTCTGCTTTCGCTGGAGGCAGCGCCGCCCTCAGTGGCAGTGGCACTGGAGGTGCTGGTACCATCAGCCCCAGTTTCACCGAGGTCTTCGGGTGGTTCCAGGGCATGGCCATGAACGGCATGCTTTCCGTCAGCTACCCTCCCGTTTACAGCAGCTTCGTCAAGAACTTCGGTTTCTCTTGCGGCATCATCCCCTGGACCGACATGCAGGTCGCCATTGACAACTTCCGCGGTGCGACCGGCGGTGATCTGAGCAAGGACAGCGTTGAGATCCTCAAGAACAGCACTCTCATTCTCGCTGACGGCTCCACCGTCGATGGTGGCAGCGCCCTCTTCAAGACCAAGCGTGCCGTTGAGACGTTCCACGCTCTCGTTCTGAGAGAGATTGAGACCAGCGTCAACGGAACCACCAGCGGCGACTCTGACGACCCGGTCACCACTATCAAGCAGAAGGTTCAGGGTATCACTGCCTTTGTCAACACTCTCAGTGTCCCCAAGTCCAACACCTTCATGACCGTTCTTCTCATCGTTGCCATCGTCATTGCCGCCATCATTGTCGGCATTCTCCTCGTCAAGGTCATTCTCGAATTCTGGGCCCTTTTCGGCAACTTCCCCAAGGGTCTTGCCGGATTCCGTGAGCACTACTGGGGATCCATTGCCCGCGCCGTCACCTCGCTTATCATGTTGCTGTACGGTATCTGGGTTTTGTACTGTATCTTCCAGTTTACCAACGGAGACTCGTGGGCTGCCAAGGTGCTTGCTGGTGTCAGTCTGGGTATCTTTACCGGCATCCTCGCTTTCTTCTCTTACAAGATTTGGAGCACTGCTCGCAAGCTGAAGCAGGCCGAGGGCGATGTCAGCGGTCTCTACGACGACAAGAGCAACTGGATGAAGTACAGCCTCTTCTACGAGTCCTACAAGAAGGACTACTGGTGGATCTTTGTCCCCGTCATCGTCTACCTTTTCGCCAAGGGCTGCATTCTTGCCGCTGGTGATGGTCACGGTATGGCCCAGACCTCTGCCCAGCTCGTCGTTGAGGGTCTCATGCTTTGTCTTTTGCTATGGAGCCGTCCCTTTGAGCGCAAGTCGGGCAACGTCATCAACATCACTATCCAGGTCGTCCGTGTTCTCTCTGTTGCCTGCATCCTCGTCTTTGTTGAGGAGTTTGGCATTGCTCAGACCACTCAGACCGTCACCGGTGTCGTCCTGATTGCCGTCCAATCCGCCTTGACCGGCGTGCTCGCCCTTCTGATCATGTGGAACGCCATCAACGCCTGCTGCAAGGAGAACCCCCACCGCAAGCGCAGAAAGGAGATGGGTAAGTCTACCTCTACGCCACTCAATGATCATTTTACTGACCCCCGTTACAGAGAAGATGCAGCGCGACATGGACACCCTCACTCCTCTGGACGCCCGCAACTCCCTACTCATGGACCGCAAGGATCCCGAGGCCGGTACCACCTTCTCCATGTCAAGCGTCCCCGAGAAGAAGGACCACCGCCCGGAGTCTCCCGATCACTACATGGGCGCGGCGGGCAACGCTCCCTACCGCCCCCTGGCGCCAAGCACGCCTTACGGCAACGCCCACCACGACCAAAGCCGCGAGAACCTCGTCCTTGGGGCGGCACCTATTGCCGACAGGGCGCCAACACTGCCCAACGTGGGCGGCGACTTCAACAACAACCCTCACGGCGGCTATGGTGGTGGTGGGTACCGGGGTGTGTATCACTGAAAGAAAAACTGAAAGAATCGGGAGGGAGACGCCTTGACTGGTGTGTGTACCTGTTGGAATGACAATGAACATAGAAGTGTGGAATGTATGACATATGGATCTCTCTTAGCTGTTCACAGAGATTCCAGAAAGGAAGCCACTTATATCCTATTTACTTTTTCCTTTCCTTATTTCTTATTTTATATTTTCAAAAAATCGCTTATTTCCTTGGGTCTGCTCATCCTTTGTCCGTCTCTCTCATTTTTTCTCTCAAGATATCTACGGATATACACAACAACGTTTTACAACCTCTGCAAACACCAATGGTTATGATATCGACGGCTGCGTGCTAGTGTTTTCTCATTTCTTTTCGCCTTTTTGTCGTGAAGGGGAAGAGGAAGAAGAAATAGGAGGGGGCCCTTTTATGCAGTCGTTATCAAACATACACAACCAAACAGGCTCAGTGTCCCCTGTGGGGATATACACGTTTTATGACCGCAAGGTAATCTTCTTGTTTGGGGTTCAAAAGGCGGAGGGTTTGCATAGCGGAGGAATGGGCCTCGGATAAGTATATACCTACAAATGGAACGCAAATTAATAGTATGAAGTGTATGATTGTGAGGTGATGAGTGAGGCTGGGGTTCTAGAGGTCGATGAGTTACTTGACGTAATTTTGGATGCTCTGGCTGACTCTTGAGTCTTTTTCTTTTCGGGGATAATTGACAACAGTCTGTCCAAATAAGTAAGGACCTGAGCTGGAGATGGCTCAACAAAGAGGCTGTTCGGGAATGGAAGTATCGCCTTTGTCTTGACGATGCCCGAAGAAGGAACACTCGTGGTAGGGACGGGCCACTTTCTTCCAGCGAAGTTTTTGGGGCCCAATTGCCTCCTCCATTGGACCGGCTAGTGCGAAAGGATTGCTTACAGGCACTGTAGACCTATTGGCCAATTGCTCCCAATACACGGTGCGAGAGAAAAGGGCTGCCCCTCATCACCCCACTGAACGTCATCCCCGACGACGGCAACTCAAACTTCCAAGATTTGGTCTCACAGCATCCAACTTGGCTCAAAGTTGGCGGCTCCAGCCTTGCTCTGCATTCGTTTCTTCCGGCCCCCGTGTAACAGGCTTCATCTTGCGGCCGTTCCAGCTACACGGCTCTGGTCGTCTCTGATCTCTTATTACCTCCATCATTCCCTGCATCTGCAACCTACGGCTTGGCATCCCGGCTGGTCGGCGACGCCTGCAGCACACACACACACACACACACACACACACACACACAAACGGAAGACGCGCCGAAATTGCTCCTACCTGATTCTAGAAGATATAAGAAAGAGAGAAAGGGAATAAAAAAACACCATCCATCTGTTTTGTTAGAAGCTCTCGACAGAACCAAGGCCCGCCCAACATGAGTGAGTTGCAAAGAGCTTGGGCCAAGAGGAAACTCGACCCCATGCATCCTCTGCCGGAGCCCCTCAATGACCTCGACGAGGAACCCGAGACCGATCAGCTCCCCGAGTTGCCGGAGCACATGGACGACGGAGACTCCTCTTCGGCCTCGTCCGCTTCGTCAGCTTCTTCTACCGGCACTATCATCCCGTCTCCGAGTCAGAACCTCTTTGCTCGGCCGCAAGGGTAACGTATTTTTCTTTTTGCCCTGTGCTGCTCTCCTCCCCGCTCCATCTATTGCCCTGTGGCTTGAGCAGTGTAGACTTGGACGCTGATCCTCGCTTCTAGAGTGTCGAGGGGCCGCACGCTGGAGCAAATCCCATGGACGACCTACTTTGAGCGAGAGCTGTTTCTGAAACCCAAGGTCGGCGATGAGCTCTCTGCCACCGTGACCTACCATGCCTACCTCAATTCTCCTGTCGGAAAGGGACCCCTCTTCGTCATGCACCACGGCGCCGGCTCTTCTGGCCTCTCGTTCGCCGCCCTCTCGTCCGAGATTAGAAAACGCCTCCCTTCGGCCGGCATTCTTTCTCCGGATGCTCGCGGCCATGGCTTGACGGTCATCACGGACGGCACCGAGCTCGATCTCAAGCTCGATGTCCTGACGGAGGACCTGTTCAGCGTCATCCAGCTGACAAAAGCCCAGATGTCCTGGCCGGAGCTTCCTCCCGTCATACTCATCGGACACTCGCTGGGCGGCGCCGTCGTCACGGATCTGGCCAAGTCGGGAAAATTGGGCAATTCCCTGCTCGGGTACGGAGTTCTGGACGTGGTGGAAGGCTCGGCGATGGACGCTCTTCAAAGCATGCTCACGTACCTTTCAACGCGACCTACCGGCTTCGCCAGTTTACAGTCCGGAATAGACTGGCATATCCGCTCGCGCACCGTCCGCAACTCGGTGTCGGCGCGGACGTCAGTGCCAGCGCTTCTGGTGTACGACGACTCCAACGACCCGACGAGGCCGTGGAGATGGCGAACTGATCTGGCGGCGACGCAACCATTCTGGGAAGGCTGGTTCGTCGGCTTGAGCAAGAAGTTTCTGGAGGCGAGAGGTGGGAAACTGCTTCTGCTGGCGGGTACGGACAGGTTAGACACGGAGTTGACAATCGGTCAGATGCAGGGTAAGTCACCCATTGCCTCCCCCCCGAGGTAATGAAGAGCCAGAAAGAAAGGTTAACACCCTGATAACAGGCAAGTACGCATTACAAGTGTTCCCAGAAGCCGGGCACTTCATCCAAGAAGATCTTCCAGAGAAGACGGCGCTGGCAGTCGTGGACTTTTACAGGCGGAACGACAGGAGTGCTTTCGTCATGCCGCCCAAGGTTGGCGATCTGCTAAAGCAAGGCAAGAGAGTCTAGGGATCTTGTCCCTGTGTGAATACGATTCCACAGCGAAAGCATGTAGCCATCCTTTTCTCTTCTCGTGTATTCATAGTTATACCCCTCCTGGCTTTTGTGAGCTTGGGCAACCAGATCATAAGCAAGTTATGCAATGATTGAACCATCAAGTCGAGCAATTTCATCCAGCTCGTCCCAATTGTGGGTGACCTTACATCTCGCTGCTTCTCCATTGCTGCGAACTTCAATTCGTTAGAATGTCCTCGCCCAGCGTAGGTGCAGTCTGCAAACCAGATGTCAAGTCCTACAGGACGTCTTCGGCATACTTTGCACGAGTACAAATGAGTGGATCATGTACTTGACTCAGTAAGGACTTGAATGGGAAGTATTAGTCTCTCCGAGATGGCAAGCTAGGTTGCAAGGCTTTTCCATTGTGAAGGTTGATGTCTTGATCGATGACCTTTCCTTTGATCGTATGGCTCCTACACCACCTCCAGCCCTCTCATCTGAGCCCTTCCTTATCAACGCTATCCTGTGAGGCATGCTACTTTTGTTACATCCTTCTACTTATTTACGGTGCTCCAGTTGGGTGAAGTGGCTGACTCTGGTATCGCCTGAGTTTTGAGAGCAGAACCAATTGTCCCGTAACTGGGAGTTTTTCCGCGAAAAGACGGATATCATCTCGATCGTCTTTTGCTGCTTGTCAAGGTGATGGATGGATTTGGAATCAGGGAGTAACCCCCCCCCCCAATCTAAGAACGAGTCTTTGCCTGCTGACGGGTGAGTGCCGTGCGGCGTATATTATGTGTATAATATGCAAAGAGAAGCTCCAAGTACTGTCTTGTCCCTAGTGTGTATAGAATCAATCTAGAGAGTTACGAGGGTGAAAAGTAAGTGCATCACTCACTACCTTGAAGAAGCAGAGGCAACAAGCTGCTGAACGCCTGCCGACAGCCCACGGGCGTAAAGAAACTATGACTCGCACCAGTTACAAGCCGGACCTATGTAAGGGCGTCCATTACATCCTTCCGAAGTAATGGGCTAGGCGATTGCACCTGTGGCGAGCTGATGAAAGGGTACTCGAGAGAATGAGCAAAGTGGTTATCATGGTAGTAGGAAGATAGTATCATATAAGCAGCAAGCTTTCCCCCCTTTTTCCATTAGCTCAAACCAGAAACATCCAAGAGACAGAGAGGCCAAAAAGAGTTCACAACCCCCGGTGCCGAACCAGGGGCTACATACATCTCTTGGTGCTCATGCCGGGATTCGAACTCGATCGCTACGCCTGTCGTCGAGTAGGCTGGTTGGCGTAGATGATTGATTGTTGACCTTTAACCACTCCACCACCCAGCCAGTCTGACCCGACCCGTCGACCTAGACCGGCGCCTGCTGGCTGGTGACAGGAATGGACTTGGAGGGGTATATGAAGGCGTGTCGTGCATTCGGGTTGGGCGGGGGAAAGGTGAGGAAGGTATGGTCCGGTTGTACTTGCCTTACTTGCCTGATACACGATAGACACTGCCCCTTCCATTGCGGCAGAGGCTTGTTTACCTTGTCTCCGATGCGCCACTGGATATGGCGATGTAGGCAAGTTTGCACCAGTAACGGGAGAGAACAGAAGGTTCAGCGTTACCGTGGTTTCCAAGATGTCGATGAGCAAGACGTTGATGAACCCTTTCAGCAAGAACTGGGCCTTCTTTCCATAATCGGAGGCCTCTCTTACCTTCATCGAAGTCGAATGACACTTTGCCTCGAGAGAACCTTGGCAGCTTGATACGCTTCAAAACGGATATGTGTAACTGGATTCAACGCCACATTCTTCTATTCTTTCTCAAGCACCAAATGCTATCCAGAACACTTTGCTAGGACAGACTTTGGTCGTCTGCCATGCCTCTTTTCCATTATATACGTCATTTGTGTTTCCAAACACACACCAGGAACCCAGCCCAGTTCAGTTCAGTTCAGTCATGCTCATATCATTAATTACAACAACGCATATCCTACATTCCACACCCAAAAGAAATCTCACCAGCCATCCACGACCTTGACGTACACGTGCAAGCCCTTTGACGGACGCGCCGTGACGCCGCCCTTGATAGTCATGTTCTTCTCGTCGTACTCCTCCTTATTCTTGAGGCTGAACTCGAACCGCCCGATCCACGAGGCGAGGATACAGGCGAACTCGGCCTTTGCGAACCCTTGCCCGATACAGCTGCGCGGCCCGTGGAGGAACGTCATGAAGGCGTAGTTGCTCGTCGCGCCGCCGCTGTTGGCCGCCTTCTTGCTCTCCGCATCGCCCTCGCGCGAGGGAAGCCACCTCTCCGGGTTGAAGCGGCCCGCGTCGGCGCCCCAGAGCGAGGCGTCCTTGTTGGTGGCCCACGGGCAGAGCATGATGCGCGTGCCCTTGGGGACTTTGTTGCCGTCGATGACGGTGTCGACGGCGGCTTCGCGGAGGGTCATGGGGACCGGGGAGTAGTAGCGCAGGACCTCGTTGCAAACGGCGTTGAGGTAGGGCATGTGGTCGATGTCGAGGGCTGTGATGTCGCCTGGCGTGCCGGGTGTTGGGAGGCGTTCGCGGATCTCGAGGCGGAGACGGGACTGGACTTCTGGGTTGAGGCAGAGGCAGTAGATGGCCCACATCATGGCCGAGGCCGTGGTCTCGTGGCCCGCGGCGAGGAAGGTCATCATCTGGTCGACGAGGTTGTCCTCGGTGAAGCAGCCGGACTCGAGTGCTACGGACAGGATGTCAATGTCGGTGAGCTGCTTGCGCTCCAGCTTCTCCTTCTTCTCGCGGATGAGCTCGCGGCAGGTGGCGCGGATGGTGTTGGCGGCCTTTGCGATGTCGCCGTTGCGCTGCAGGGGAAGGTGGTGGACGAGGGAACCGGGGAGGAGGAGGCCGAGGACTGCGAGGACCTGCGCCTGACGACTCGGCTTGAAGACGTGCTGGTAGGTCTGGTTCAGGGGGTTCGCCGGGTCGCGGATGGCACCAAAGTCGCGGCCCATGCCAGCCATACCGATGATGTCAAGCGTGGTGCGCGATGCCCAGTTGCCAATCTCCAGGACGGCGGTGTTGGGACCCAGCGCAGCCTTCTCCGGATCGGTGAGTCCTTCGGTCGCGCCCTTTGCGGCCTCGGCGTGGACGGCATCGGTGATGGCCTGGACGCCCTCGCACGCCTTGCTCCAGAAGAGCGGGTACAGGTCCTTGACGTGACGGAAGGCGAAGGCTGGCATGAGGTTCTTGCGCTGGACCCTGTGATCGTCGCCCTCGGCTAGCAACACCCCAACGCCGAGGATGCGGCCGATGGACGAGCGGACGGCGCCAGGCTTGTGGAAGTCGTAGTTGTGGGTGACGAGCACCTCAGCGAGGGCCTTGGGCGACGTAATCAAGAGGCGCTCCTGGTTGAACAAGCCGCGGTAGCGAATGATGCCTTCGTGAGGGATGTTGTTGATCCTGAGTGGCGCACATTTAGTCTCTCTCTCTCTCGTATATATCAAGGTTCTGTTCGCCGTGAAGACAGCTTTCTCTCTCTGGTTTTCTACTTACCAGTCAATCATGGGCACTCCAGTCGGCTCGCGCATGATCCTCGGGTACTGTCCCATCAACCAGTGATCACCTTTGGGCCCCGGAAGCGAGCGCAAAGACGAAAAGTACTGGGGGAACAAGAAGACGACAAAGATGCCCCATGCCAGCATCTGGAAGGCAAAAGCGCCCACGAATGCGACTAGGAGGTGACATCTAGAGAATACTGGCTGTCGCAGAGCCAATAGTACGGCGATTGCTGCCGAGCTGACAGATACTCCGCGCCAGGGTACGCTCATTGTTGCGGTTGTTATTCGAGTGTGTTCGGGAGATTCAATGCCAGCGTAGCTGGTTCTCTTCAATGACGACGACGACGACGTCCACGTTGCGACGCAAAAGCGAGCTATCCGAGTTTCGAAGTGGGCAAAGCGAGATCTGTCAAAGACTGCGTCGTTCGACCTCTAAAGACCTCTCGTGAAAGACGTCAACGTCGATGAAAAAAAAACCCGCGGTGACGGCTCTGATGCTATGCCTCGTTGATCTGGGAGTTTTGCGTAAGTCGCGAGCACTACTTTCAATGACAAGCAAACGACAAGGCTAGACGGGCGTTTAAGCTCCCGGGTAATGGTAAGGTTATGTAAGGTAAATGATAAAAAATGAAAAGAGGGAACAAAAGGACCAAAGCTGTTTCTTGAAGTTTAAGCTCAATTAGAAAGGAAAAAAGAGGTGGTGTGTGTGGTAGAAGAAGGGCAGGTAAGGCGAGGTAGATCCCGCGTGGAAGGAGGGCCGGGTCGATCGGTTTCATGCGTACGGGGTTGCAGACATGGAACCAAAGCATCGCCAGCACATGCACACCCAGGCAAGAAGAGAGAGGGACGGAGACACAAGAGAAAGGCCCACGCACGTACCGCGTCTTCTTTTTTTTTTGGGGGGGGGGGGGGGGTCCTTACGACCACTGCTGTCTCTCTGCTGTTCAAGTCCCGTAACTTTGTAAGGTAAGGCCACTTGGTGTTCCTCCAGAACTCCGTTCTTGGGTTGTCGCTTCAGACAAGGGGCCGTGGGGTGGGTGAGTTTTGGCTGTTGGAGACCAGAGATGGGCGAGACGATGGAGAACGGAGTTGGGATGAGACGAGACGCGACGGGATACCGGGGTAAGGAGAAGGGGTGAATGAAAGCTTTCCAAAACGACGACCGGCTTGTTGTAATCTGGTCTTTAGTTCAACTAACAGAGATGAGTTATCGTCGAAACCTCTTGATTGTGTATCTTGACAAGATCTGAGATGTTATCTTTAATGGAAGGCGATGGAGCAACTATACGACAAAAGCACGTGGCATCCGAGGCCATCGAGCGGCAAGGGTTCAGGGTGGAGGAGGAGGAGGTTGCGCCTACTAAAGTAAAGAAGAAACGAGATGGATGCTGGGGAACAGAGCTGGGAGTGATGACAATGAGCCGGTCTGCCGTTGGTTGCAAGCTGCTCTGCCCCCCCCCCCCCCCTCAAAAGAGCCCCTAGCGGGTTTCTTGGCTTTTCTGCAGCTCGGTGGAGAGAGATGAGAGAGCTCGGTTCGATTGCTTGACAAGGGAGCTTCTTGTTTTTCTTGATCCGTCTTAGTGGGCGGTTTTGTGGTGTATGCGGCATGTCAATTCAGCACCCCGTCTCCGTCTCCGTCTTACTCTCTCTCTCTCTTTCTCTCTACGCGGATATGTTCACAGTTCCCTGCGAGTGCGAGAAAGTACGCACGGGATTCAAAAAGTTCATCCGCAAAAGGCCATGAACGAATCGGCACATGACCCGCGAGTGGTGGTTGTTGAAAAAGGTGGGATGGTTAGGGGGGGAGGGGGGGTTCTATGGATGATGAGTACACTGCGTAACACCCATTTGATGGAGACACCAGCTCGAATTGAATGCCATTCTCGTCCTAGCTCGCCGTGGATTGGTTGTGTCGCGTCTTGGAAAAGGTCCAGCTTGTCCAGATATCTGGGAGAAGTTATGAAGGGGAACTAAAAGTCCGGGACGGGATTTGGGGGTCCCCCAATCTCTGGGCTAGGTATCCGCCATCGTCCCAGTCCAACGGGCTTCTGGGATGATTTGTTCGCCCGATCCCACCCTTCGTTCCCTTCTCATTCTTCCATCTTGTTTAGAAGACCCGGCGGGATGTTGCCGGCTTGGATAACCTTGGGAGCACTGTCCAGTGTGGTAGCCAGTGTCGTTCCGTTTGCATTCAGTCGCAGTCGCAGCGCCTCCTTTGCCTTTGTCTTGAATTCCGTCTCAGTACTCCGTACTCAGTGCCGATACCCTTTTCTCGGTGTGACATTTGGCTCACCTTGGACCACTACCCGTCCTCCCCCCCCTCGACCCCGAATCCCGGACCAAAGAGAGAGAAAGAGAGCAAAAAAAGAAAAAAAAAAGCAAAGGATACAACGTTTTTGCGATTCCAGCGACTCGGTCCAGTCCCATGCCGATACCACGCCAAGCCTGGCCGTGCGAGGCAAAGGCGATTGGCTCAGCCAGGAAAAGTCCGACTTGTTCGTTTCGGATGGTCCCTTGGATTGGAAGGCGTGGACAAGTACGACAACGCGCACAGGTGCCACAAGGGAAAAGAAGAGTGCCAAGTCGCATAGCATGCCTGTTTCAATCGCGTGGACAGTGCTCTTCTGCTTCTGCAACTTCTTCTTCTATCCGTATGTGTGTTTGTTTTTTTCCGCCTTCAGCTCCAGGACGAGTACGGCTTGCAGGAATACGGTGACTTTGACACAAACAGGTAAATAAGGGAACATATCTATCACACACTCTCACTCTCTTGTTTCTCGCTCTAGCCCCTCATATGTCCAAACAAGCAGAGCCCTGAACTATCCTCTGCAAGACGGGTTACGAATGGGCATAGTCCAGCATGAAGAAACATCCCGTCTAGACGACCGTGAAAAAAAAGCCAAATTCAGACTGATTTGTCAAGAAGAACCATAACCTAACCTTGACCATGAACAGTCCAACTTCAGCCTAAGTTGTTGCTGTTTTCGACCTCGATACCAAAACATTGGGCTGTTGTTACCTTCACCTCACATGTTGTCCTGAACCTGTATTTCACAGGAGGCACAGGCCCAAATACCCACAGAGCACCAAGAGACTGTTAAAACAACCCAAAAGGGAACAAAACCATCTTTCTCTCTTCCAAGCAGGGAACATTGAGTGCAAGAAAACACAAGCAGCACCGCCACCTTCGAGCCTTCCGCCTCCAAGTCCCACGGCAGGCCTCGTTTCCGTTCCGCTGTCTGTGAGCCCGTGAGTTAAGGGCGAAAGGTGAGGCTCAAATCCAAGTAACCCCATTCAACCCGTCTTTTGTTTTCTACCATTCCAACACGCTAAAGATAGCTTTTTCGTGTCACTAACCTTTTCCCGTCCCCTGCTTGCGTGCCTGCCATACACCCAAGCGTCCGTCCGTACCAGTTTGCCCACAGGTCCGTTCTCCCCCCTTGTTTCCAAAAAAAAAAAAAAAAAAAAAAAAAAAAAAAACACTTTGATAATGCACCTCCCGGCTCTTTTCGAAGCGAGTGCTGCACCGCTCGGGAGAAGCGGCATTGTATTGACGACTGGGAAATCTGTGGCAGTGAAATTCTGTAGTTCTACGCCAAACTTGTCCATCCTACATTCGGTTTGGTAGTCTTCCGTGGGACATCAGAACCAAAGTCCAAGATTTGAGTGGGTGCTTAAACGGCTGAAAACCCATCACGGTCCCCCCCCCCAAATGTACCCAAATCCTACCCATAACCGTACATCTCCCGCTGGCTGGGCAGAATCACACTTCATGATGGGAGCGACTGATACGGAACGGATACGCCACGCAAAGGGACCACATGGACAACAAGGCCAAACCCATCGTCATCCTCATCGGGCTGCGGGGGCTCTTTTTCGCATTCGCTTACACGCCTCTGTATCGATGCCTGTCTGCTGGTCAGCTTTCCCATCTGGCAAGTCCACAGAAAAGAAAAGAAGGAAAGAACGATAGAATAACTCCCAATTAGCTGAATGCTGTAAGACAACCGCTTTACCTGTCCATCTAACCGCCTTGTCTATCTAACCACCCGTCACACACTTCGTCACCTCACGTTACTCCAGCCACTTAGACGCAATACAAACCTCGCCACCCGCTTTCTCCAAAGGGTATCATTACACTACCATCTGATAATTCTCCAAAACTCCCATGATTCGTGATCCCCCCCCCCTCCCTCCCCATCCGCACGCGGCCACGCCCAAGAACAGAAATAACTACCACTCCCCCTAAACTTCCGACGTCCTCTATGCCAATGAGGTAGGTGCCCGCCGTAACTGCACCCCAGATACTTACCTAACCATCCCCCTCTTGCCCCCCTCTCTTCGCCTCCACCGCTCGCCATCAAGTCAAGGAAAATCCAAGCAAACCTCTCCAAGCTGACTCTTTTCGTCGTTCAGCCAAAAGACATGACAATACCTACATACCCCTCCTCCCCCTAGCTTCCTATTCCCCTGCTCCGCTCCCGACGGAACAAACCCCGCCGGGATAACCCAAACCCCCGAATCGGCCAGGATGTCCAGAGAACCCGCATACGTAAACGGCACGACCTTCCGTCCCTCCGTCCCGACGGATTTCACATGGGCCAAGGAGAACCCAAATTCCGTTCCGTGCCGTCTACATTACATTCTCCGCAATGTCGTTTTCCAACGTTAGAAAGGAAAGACTTCGCCGTCCAATCATCACCTAGAAGCTACGAGTCTGTGTGTCAACCAAGTCCCGTGATGTCCCGTATGAATACCAGTGTGCCTGCCGACTCCTCAGGTTAGCCCAAGAAAAGTTGTGCTTCCTTCCTGGCGAGTCTACGAGTACACTCAAACACTATGTGGTCAGCTATCCTACAACGGAATATTTAGGTGCGGAAGATGAGTGGGATAGAGTCATGTATTCGTCCACTCAACTAACTAGCACTAACTAGACTAGCTTGCTGTGTCGCTTCCGCCATGTGTGCGGTGTCGAGTTGTTTGCGTATCGTGGCTACAGCCCGGCGCCAAATAAGTGAGTGCCCCCCTGAAATGTGTTCATCATTGTGTACACTCGAGCTGGCCTCTCAAGTGGTCTGCCCTCAAAACCTGTCAGATCCAACAGACCCCTTGAATCCTGCTAAAATACTTTGATTCCTGAAGCATGCCATCACGAAGATGATGATCCATGGTTCCCTGAAACGCCATAACCACTCAAAGGAAAATTAAACGCCGTGATCGATCGGTGTTGAAGGCCATCCTGCATGCCGAACCGAGGCCTGTCCACGAAAGTAAATTGCAGACTGGTTAATAGAACTGTCCCCCATATCCGATATGCCAATTACGTCTCCACTGCCCACGCCGTCCATGCGTACGCTGTTCACGCCCGCCAAGTCCATGTTCACTTCCCTATTCCCGTACCCATGGGTTGGCATGGAGCGACACACCATTCTCACCGCCCAGCATACGCCGATGGCTTTCGTCAGGTGCTGCTGGGTCTCCGATAGTCCAAGGGCTCGGGAGGGCTGCCGGCAAAGAGGTTCGGTTCGTAGAGTTCAGATATCCGCTACCATGGAGTCCGTCAGGCATGCCGAGAGCGGTGGGCATGGCTCCACTAGTAAGCTGTGAGAAGACCGGAACTGACAGCGCTGGCGCAGTCGAAGACTCTCCTAAACCTCCAAAGCCAGTCGCCTGATGCTGGTGCTGATGCTGATGCTGATGCTGATGCATGTTGGAACCAGAAAAGGGCACCTGTGATATAGCACTGTGGTGCGCACGATGAGAGCCGTTGGATGCGAAAGCTCCTCGAGCTGGGAGCAGAGCAGGAATGGCAGCATGCGATCTCCGACTACTTTCGTACGTGCTGGACACCGGTCTGGGCCGGCTACCGCTGAAAGTTGGTGACCCTGGCCCTTGAACACCAGTACGAGGTCGAATCCTACGCCGACTTTCACCGCTGTCTGTTGGGGGAGAGCGGCGTTCACCATGGTTAGATCCAGATCCTTGCGATCGGTTGGAGTCGTCCTGTGCCAAACTGGCGTCCCTATCTCGCATGTAGCCAGCGTAGCCAGCAATGCCTCCAAGGCTCAGCTGACCGCGATTACGGAAGTACCGGTCAAAGTTTGGGTGCGTGGACGTGATTTTAGGTTCGTGCGGCACCTTGTCTCTGCAGTAAGGGCAGCTGTCCGACTCCTCGAACCATTTCTTGATACAGTGGTCACCAAATACGTGCTTGCATTTGGGCAGTCGAAGTGGTGCCTCCTTCACACCTTCGGGTGTTTCTACACCGAACTCGTTGTAGCAGATGACGCAGGCTGCAAAGTCATGTTAGTCTTTTTATCTCACAATAGAGCTAGAATCCTCATAACTTACTTCTCTCGCTCTCTGATAGCTCGGTCATCGGAACGCTCTGAAGAGATTGGATAGCTGATGAAGATGCTACATATTTCGTGGTCACGGAGCCACGCATGAATTGGGCGGCCCGAACGTGGTCTTCTTCCAGAGTCATGATATGACGTGCCATTTGGGTTGGGTTTCCAGCCATTGCTATGACCTGTTCGAGCGCACCTCGGTCGGAATCCACATCACTGTCGGACAATGGGCTTTGTCTCCTGGACATTGTGCGGCGAATAGCAGGAACACGGCGTCGCTCTGAATGGTGATGATTTGACGAGCCCAAGCTACTTGAAGAGCTTGAGGTTCCAGAAGATGAGGCGCCTGTAATATTCCAGGCACAATTAGCATGTAGACTCTCAGATACAGGCAAACTCCACTCACCTGAAGTAGGTTGATGAACTTCTTGGGGCGGATTGGGGAAGGTCGCCTGGCCGCGGTGGGGAGCAGCTGAAGGAGGAGCAGATCCAAACTGTATACTAGCCCCGGAAGATGGTGCTTGACTTGGACCACTGGTAGATTCCTGTGCCTCGAGCTGAGGGGGATTTGAAGCCGCCGCAAGGTTTTCTGGGTTGGTTTGCGCTACGGCAGGAGTTGATGTATTCATAGAATGTGAAGCTGTGTTAAAGGTGCTGTGGCGTGGGGTTGAATGCTGCCCACCAAAGTTCCTCTCAGAGCTAGTATAGAACGGCTGGCCTTGTGCCGGATGGCCTGATGGCAGGGCTGTCGATAGATTGAATCTCACCGGAGGGAGCTGCGTATGAGGGAACGACGGTTGCATGGTCGGAGGGCCCCCCATCTCGCTTGGGGTTGCCCCCGAGTAGCCACCAGCCATATTGCCAAAGTTAGGAACAGGCGCATGATTGTAGTAAGGCGCCTCAGAGGCTGAGTTTGAAGGCCGGTGCTGGGGTGCCGGATGTCCTCGGTGGTTCATCATGGGAGGTTGATGTTGCCAGTGATATGGCCCAGACGGCAGTGGTGGTCCTTGAGGTTGCCAGCTTGGGTAATTCGCTGAGGAGTGGACTGGGTCGTAGTGCATTGTAGAGCGGTGCTGGGGTATCCCAAGGGCTTGCTGTTGGCCTTCTCTACTGAGGAAATAAGGGCATCGCGGACGCTGCTGTCCATACGGATTCTGCGCCTGGCCCTGAGACTGCTCCGGATGGTGATATGCGTAATCCATGGCTTCATCCATACTGTGAATCCCTTCTACTGCTATGCGAGAACAGTCCTACCAACTGTCACTGTGAGGCTGGCTTCTTAGTCGTGGCCAGAATTGCCTGTGATGGAGAACCACGATCTCTCTTTCACCAAGCAACTTGGCTCTCTTTTTTATGACCCTCCTTTTGTCGCTTGATTCCCCTGTTTGTATGCAGCTGCACGGCGTCGCTCGCTTGCTTTTCCTAAGCTTTTGTTCGTTCGATCAGAAGGTGCGTTCGTCGTCGTACAAGCTGCCGGTGGTCTAGGCAAGCGAATCGTTGAAGTGAGCGGGTCCGAAATGAATGTGGTCTGTTGGCAAGTCGTCGTGGACTGACTGGAGGAGGGGTAGATGCGGGTAAGTCTGGGGGCTTCTTGGGGACGCCGGAGAATGCGTTGAACTGGGAGTCGCTGTTGCTATTATCGGTTCGCGATGAAGAGTTTCAAAGGTCGGTTCAGGATATTGTCCTCCCAGTAACCCATCGAGGTTTATTTTTGTGCAATTTGTGTCCTCTGAGCTTGATCGCAGGGTGTTGGGTGGAAAACTTAAAGCCCAAGTTCTGTGTACCAAAGAGGTAGTAGAGGCGGTACCGAAATGTAAGAGTCCGGTCGCGCGGTGACGTGAGGTGAGTGTGAGGTGAGGGGCGCTGCTGCTTAAGACACTGGGATGAGCCGCTGGATCATGCCGCTTTCAGAAGTTAGTCGGATGCTCGCGAAAGAACGTGATGCAGGCGTCTGTCTCGTTTGGCCGTAATAGGTAAGATGCAGCCTGAGTAAGGGCGACGAAGTTTAATGCCGTGGTGGAAAAAAAAAGAAAGGGGAGAGAAAAAACGACTGCTGGGAATTCCTCGTCGCAAACTAGTATTAAGAGCGGTCTGTGTCTCTTAATCTGCTTGTTCGCTCTTGCTCTTGTCGCAGGGCAGTGATGGAGTAGGGATGAAAGGAGGAGCGTGTAAGAGGATTGTGCGGGAGAGCCGTTCAAGGCGGGGGATCGAGAGGGATGGGATACCTTATATGGATGTGGTATGTATGAGTTTGGTTGAGGGTGACAACTCAGTAGGAGGCTAGGTAAGGTGAGATAGGCCAACACGCCAAGTAAGGCAGTGAAAGAAATGGAGAGAAAGAGGTCCGAGGCAGCCTGATCGTCTTCTTATTAGGTCGTCGAAAAGAGGGGTGACGGGTGACTCGATGGGTTTGGTTTCTGTTGTGACAGGCCGCATACGTCGTGACGCCGATGTCGCCGAGCAAGGGATATTGGTCGATGGGGGTCGGGAGGGAGACGCTGGGAGGTTAGGTTTGGTTCACCAGCGGTCGGTGGGCGGCGAAGAGTATCGGTGAGACGACGATGGCTCGAGAAGAGAGGTAGAAGTGGGAAGAAGAGATGGGAGACGGTCACCGGGGGGTGGGAAAGGGAAGGGAAGGCGCGGCAAGGAAAGAGGGGTGGGCAGGCAGTCTTGGGTTTTGTATTTCGTCGCAGGCAAGAAGGAAGGGAACCTTGGGGACACCAGATACCAGATGCCAGACAAGGCACCACCGCTTATTGAGGCAAGGTGTAGGTAAGAAGGTCAGGTCGACAGGGCCATGGACGACGGAGACGAGAGACGAGAGACGAGGAGGATACACTCCAGTCAGGCAAGGTCTAAGAGACAATGGGAATGGATGGGGGGGAACCGGAAGGGAAGACGAGGCGAGATCCAGACAAGGCACCGGAAGCCAAAGCAAAAGCCCACCTTGGACCTCACCACCCCCAGAGGTATAAGTCAGGTATCTCGCTCACACTCGACCCTTACGAAGGACAGGCTTGGAACAAGACAAGACCACTGATGATGGAGCCCTCGCAGAATGCCCGGGCAATGACACCGGGACGGGGAACTAGTAAGAGCATACATACGTACATGTGCAGAAAGAGTGAGGGAAACCATGCACCAAGACGGGACCAAGTTGGTAGACTGGACAATCAATACGGCTGGGCCGGGCTGGGGCTGGGTTGGACCGGCCGGTCTTTACTTTACGGTACTGCTAGCCAGCCAGTTATTACTACCGCTACTCCTCCTCCTCCTCCTCCTCCGATCAAAAGAGTAGCAGCCAGCCCATGACCGGGACCATGTTCCATGTCCAGAAAGTCATGTCGTTGCAGGGCAGAAAGGGCGGTAATTATGGGCTGGGTTGGATTGCTTTGCTTAAACAGGATTGGATTGGACCAGAGCGAACCAAAGACGACGAAGCAAAGTGCAGCAACGCAAAGCACAGCAGAGCAGAGGCACACACAGCACTACCTATTTCGTACACACAGCACAACATGGGCAGGGCAGGCCAAGGTAGGGCGTGGCATGGCATGGCGCTGCACTCCCCGCCAGGGAAGACGGCAGACAACAACCCAATGGGGGGTCGGGTCAGGGAGCAAGGGCAGAAAAGACCGGGACTCAGAAGACGACTTGCCGTGAGAGGACGACACACGCTGGGGGTACGGGTGCGGAAGTAAGGTAGTGTGAGTGTGAGTGTGAGTGTGAGAGTCAGAGACGGACGACTGGGCGAGCGCCGAGCAAGAGAGTTGCAGGGCCATGCACATCCGCCGGTCCAGTCCAGTTCCCCAGTTGAGGGCCATTTTGTTCTCATCCAACAAGGTATTTGGTTTTGAATTTTGCCCTCTCAATAATGCTGCATCCGACTCATCCATCGTCTCTGATCCTCTCATCTCGCTCCGGAACCCCCCGAAAGCCTCTCTCCGTTAACCGAACTGAGTGTACTTCGTACGGCCTTGTCCACTAGGAACAACAATAAGCAGTAAGAGCAGACCTATCCGGGACTGGAACTGGAGCAGACCGAATATTGGACGTGGCTGTCGGGAACAGTGGCAAGATGGGTCTGGGAGGAGAATATGACGGAAATTCGACCGCGTGGCCTAGTCGAGGCCGGGAGGGTGCTGATTGCTGGCGCCGCTGTTGGCAAAGAGGTTTATTATTGAATGCTGATGCGGATGCCAGTCTACTAATATGGCGGAACCGTGCTGGGTGACTGGGTACGGCTACCTTGTGCGATGCCCTCATTTTGTTCACAGTGGTCTCTCCCACGTCAATGTTCCACATGTAAACAGGCCCAGCCCTGGGATGTGCGTGGCTCCGTCTCTTTGGAGGGGCAAGCTATGCGACATTGACTGCGCTGGACGAGGGTTAAATGAATAGTCCCTTGTCGGGTGCTCATCAGGCGGTTGAAGCGGAAGCTGGAAGCGGATGAAGAGGCAGAAAGAAAAAGCCAAGACAAGTTCGGATCTGAGAGTCAGTGAACTGTGAACCACGAATACACCGAACTTGCGTATCGGTACCCTACACTTCCCTTGCAACTTGCCCTTCCCTTGAGACTGAGAGTAACCTTTTGCAGCCTGCCTGGCTAGTGCCCCGTCCGAGACGAGCCACCAACGTGAGCGAGACGTGAGCAACCTTACCAGACATGGGTAGCGAGCGGGTGTGTTTGTGCCTTTGCTGTAGGTTCGGATCCTACGGGCGCGGGCGGGTGTCAGTTGGCGGCGGCAAGGCACCTTTCCTTTCCTAAACACTTTTGGAGGCGGCGAAGGAAGAGACGAATTGTGATACGCCAAAGACTGGGTCGAGACCAGGTCACAAGCACTGTCCTGAAGGGCGGATGGGCGGTGGTTGATGGTGGCGGCGGTGGACAGGGAGAGGCTTGAGGATGTCTGCAAGTTGCAGCTAGGTCTCGTCATTCCCAGCAGGTTGCGCCTTTCTCTTGCAACCATAGATTGGTCATTGCAGAAACCATGTAAGTTGGTATCCGCTGTTGACCAAATGTGGACGAATTGATGCACCTGGGCGGTAGACTGAAAGTTTCCTTGCTCTCAAAGAACGATACATGATTGAGATGGGGCCGCGGAACCGTTGGGAAGAACGAAGCAGCTGGCAAAGGAAGAGCACCTCGTCTATTATTGTCGACCACATACATCCATGATCCAAATGAGCTGGAGACCTGAACAGGAGGAAAATAAAAGGAGCCGCTGCTGGAGGCGTGTTGAGTGAGGTGTATCAGGAAAAGCGGGCGCTGACGGGAATGCAAGCGCACCGCATCGGCACATCAGCATGTTGGCATCAAAATTAGCATTAGCAGCAGCGGGCTTAGCAGATTACGATTACTACTCCTATGGTTTAGAAGCGACGATAAGGTATGCTGTTCTGCCGAAAGCGTCTGAGTATGAGTATGGCCAGATGCACTTTCCCGAGATTTGTTTCTCTAGAGTCTGCACATTTCTGCCCGCTGATCAGACTGTCCGACGGAAGTGAGAACCCACTCACTCACCAATCTAGCTGTCCTCCAAGGAAAGTCCCAAAACCTCCGCCGTGATTCCACCGCGTGTCATCATGTCGTGACCGGGTCCTGAAAGGACGAAACCTTTCGGCGGTGGTGCTAAAGCGGTATGTATGTAAACGTCAATGACCGGGGGCCAAGGGGTGTGTCAGTAGGTCGCAACGGCAGCGGCAGTCCTGGCTTCAGTTGGTCAGCTCCATCTAAGTGTGAGTGAAGTGCTCACATGAACCACCTGAGCTCGGCCGGTCCAAGCAAGACAACCACTCAATAATACCACATTTACGGTATCCGCCATGAGGTATCAAGTATCAATAAATTTGGCTCAGCATCCTTGCCGCAATGGCCTATGAGGCTATAACTAGGCATTTTTTTTCTTTATCCGTATCCCGCGAGCTCATCACAGCACATCTGGTAGGCTGGCTGGCTGGCTTGCCATCTAGCTGGGCCTCATGGGCAGCCCTGGTACTCACCTCAATGAGAACCGCATGGCTAATTGGGCTTGCAGGATACCGGCATAACAATAGTGAGAGGCTGCCGGCGGCCCTGTAAGGTCATCGCTCACCAACTCAGTCACCACTATTGCTCTACCTGGTCTCTGTCGGAGGCACTACACAGACGCAAGCCAATTCCCATGCGAAAAAAAAATACATTATTCAATAGCTCACTGCCACCATAAACCACATTTCATGGCTGAATTCTCACAGGTGGCTGCACTGGAAGCAGTATGGCTTCAGGTGTGGGAGACTGTCTAGGGGACCGTGTGATTCGACTTGGCCTGAGAGCAACCAGGGCCGGGCGACAGCGTGAGTGAGAATGAGAGTGAGAGTGAGAGTGAGACTAACACACTAATACACAACTAACGCAGGCTTGTCAGGTGTTACGAAACTCAACTTGGTCGACCAGTCGCACGCGCCATATGCGAGCCCTTCGCAGCACCAGCATGTTTTCGGCTTGTTATACATGAAGACCGCCTTAACACCCGCCATGTACCCTGCCTGCCTGTCCATCCTTCTCTACTGGCTACGCTGTGGTTTTTCCTGTTAAGACAAGTGAGATATCCGTACTTGTGGTCATCTCGCACTTTCTGCCCCGGGAAACCTGGACTTGCCGCCTTCCCTTACCAGAAGGTGTCTTCTGCGGCTTGCCTCGCAGCTACGGATACCTTGCTCAGTGTTAATTGTGGCACTCTGTACAGACACTCATCGAGTCCTTCCTTGTCGATAAGTTCTGGCTTGGCCAGTCTTCCGCTCACTTTACCTCATCTGGCGAATAGAAGGAGAGACCCTGAACTTGCATCCAGACTGGGGTCCTGTCATCTCAAGCTTGCTTCGCCGGCAGGCCTATTTTTCCTTGCTATTGCCCTCGCCAACTCAGCCGTCTTCAAAACCAAACAAGTCTCGCCAGCCTCTTTGCAATACCTTCCTGCACCGTCTCCTGCAACTTCAACTCTCTCACTAGGAGTATTAGGATTGAGACTTAATACTTAGGCTGCCCGGGTCAAAGTTCAAACAACCGCATCCGACGGCTTCCCTTGCGTTTGTCCTCTACTCCCCGGTATTTGCGAGACACAGCGTCCCCACAACTTGACCCCTCAGCCGGACAGCCCTCGATCACGAAATGCACCTAAAAGAACCCAGCAAGCCCATGATGCTGCGGACTCCCTGCCCGCCTCTCACCGGTTTACTGGCCTGCTTGCCAAAAGAAAACCAAGGTCCGAAGGCGACGAAGCTTCTGTTCGGTCCACACCGTGCGCTGTCTCACTCAGCCGTGGTTTTTATTCTGCCCACATGTAGTGTATCCGTCAGATGGCTAACTTTCCAACTCCCCGGCGGGTGTGAGCACCCTGATTGTTGCGGAATTGCGGCCGCCCTCTTGAGAAAGCACGAGGGGCCCGACAATCCGCCGAGCGTGCCGAGAAGATGAAATCGAGGGAGATGCTCCAAGATACCCGACACACACCTACTAATAGCCAGCGACGTATATCTACGGAAGATTTTCTCAAGTCGATATTCTTCGGCAGTTTCTCGCTCGTTTTCTCATTGATCAACGTACACCCGACCTGGTTCCTCAGCATCATTGCGAATCCCATCATCAAGTCCTGGAGTTCGCGCTACCTTGCCTGTGGACTGACCGCCGACTTGCCGGCCGGCGTGCACCACCTATCCGTTGACACGATAACGATAAGGAGGGGGGAGGAGGGGTAGGGGAGGGTGTCGTTATGGCAGGGAGGGGCCAGCTGTTGGGACCAGCCACCAAGGAACCATCACTTTTTCCTCATTCATTGCCCCTTCACAATGTTGTACACCATTCGTATTCCTCGGGTTTCCCCCTTCTCGTCCCTCTTTCCCATGGGCCTTCTTCACGAAATCCCACTTCACGTCCGTTACTAACCCTGTCACCCGGGCAGTGGTCGAAAAGTACGGATACATTACGGGAGAGGAGGGGCCGTGGGGGCCTGCCATGATCAACTTGGACCGTTTGCGCCGGGCCGTTCACACCACACCTCTCGTGGGAAAACCAACCACTTCTCTCCCACCACCTTCAAGGCGTGCCCCGCCTTGCGCCATGCTAACGTAGGTATGCTCCCTCATCTGCATCAGCAGCGCAATCAGCTCTGGTCCTAGGCGGAAGATACCATTATCGGTCCCCATTTGGATGGATCCCTGACGGTGACTCACTTCATATCTGAGTCTTGGAATCTCCAAGTCCTCACGTCCTGTTACTATTCCCAACTGGCCAAGAACCATCCGTTTGACCCAGGCGTTTCTCAGATTCAAAATAACCCACAATCTCACTTCTCCGAGTCTGCGTTCTCGCAATTTCACACACCCCCAGCCAGCAAGCTACGTCATAATAGGTTCTAGCTCCCCCTCCGAAAGGAACAGACACGAGGGAAATGCAAGGACCCCGCGGCTTTGTCCTAACAAGACCCCAGTCATGACCCTGCTGCAAGACGACCTAGCTTCGAGGAGACGGTACTTATCCATTGGCTGAAGCCCTTTTTAGTCGCTAACCTCGTCTCTCATTCGTTTTCGAAGCAGCGGGATCCCCGCGACGATCTTCTGAGCCCTGGTTCGCGCTAAGATAAAGTGTCCCCGGCTACGCTCGACACTACTGTTATCGACTGCTTTTGTGAGTCTTCTCTCTGTCCCTCCCTTCTCTTGTCCCACCTCCCTGCACCTCGTCCCCGTCGCCTGACCAGGTGAGATTTTACTTAATTTCACGGACTTTTCCCGCCAAGTCAGTTTGTTTTGCTTCAGATGTTCGTCTCATCATTCAATGCTCCAGGCT